CTATCACTTCCCAATGACGGCTCTTACCGCTCCCTTCTTGGAGAAGTCTGGCAAACCAAACGCAGACGAAACATATCTCTTTTCAACTTCTTTTTGACAGATTATATACACATTTTAAAATGCTCCGGCAGCTGGTGTGGAAGGAAGTTTAGATTTTTGGAAATGAAACTGATATGATCGCTAAACAACAAAAAATGTGCATGAGATATCAAAGTGGTGACAGCTTTTGAATGTGCACAAATGTAAATGCTGCATGTCATTTCACGCATTGGGCTTGGAGCACACACATGAGTAAGCAGCCTTATACAACAGCTTCAGAATGTGAATGCGCAGAAAATAAAGTGTAGTGTAGACTAAAATTCAAAATACAGTCACTGGTTTTACACCTGAGAGAGAAAACAAAGAGAGCAATTTCATGATCAAGAGTACTTTCTACAATGCAATCAATCGGGAAAATGTGTCAATGTTTTGTTTTTGTTGATATGATTAGCATCTCTTAACACGTGAGTCCTGCGTCTCATGCTCCCATCGACCTGACAAAGGTTTGCTGCATAGTGTAAATGAATGAGTAAGAGGTTAACCACTGTATACTTCATTGGGGGACATCTATTGACAGAGTAGGTTGCGGTGCTCTGTTTCCATACCTGTCAACTCATACGGTTTAGCCATATTTTATACGGATTTTGTGGTGAATCTTACGTATATGCCCATATCGCACAAATCATACGGATTCTGAAAATTTCCGTTTTTTTTTTTTTTTTTCCCCTAACAGGTAGTTCCGTTTGCTTTTGCCCAGAATGGTGCTTGTCTACTCGAATGCTTTCATTTCCGGTAACGTTCCAGTAAATCACGTGGTTCCTAGTTGATAACAGCAGAGTATTCATTCCATACTTCGGTAGTGTACAAGCAAGTTCTAATCTACAAGGTGAAAAAAGTAACGCAGGAATACAACTCTGAACACAGTAATGCCCCTAAGTAGAATGATGATTAGACATTCACCTGCCATTGTATTATGGAGATCTACAATAAATATCATTAAAAATTCCCTGGGTTTTTTTCTGCCGTTATTTTGACATGTAAAATGCTTTGGTATGTTATAAGGATTTTTTGCTCTTTATAAGGATTTTTTTGGTAGTTTATATGGGTTGGCGCTCCGAAAGGTTGACAGGTATGTGTTTCCTCTCGGGCTCGTTCGAGTTTCATCATTTCTTCACCGCTTTCCAAAATGCAGTGTCTCATTAGAACTCAAAGTACAATACGAACTGTCCACAAGTGGAACTTTTCCAAGAGACAAGACACCAAAATATATGGATGTAGTCAATTTGCTCTGCTCTGATCCAACGTCATTTACTGGATGGTTACTGTACATTCATTCATTCAAGCTTTATTCGGTGTTAAGTATGGATTAAAAATTCCAAATCCATCCATGAAATAAGAGATTACTTTGGAGGTTTTTTTTTTTAGCAAGTCGCAGGAGCCGGCCTCTCCTAGAGATGTGAATACAATATGACTGAACCACCACTATTCTGTGCCAACTAACAAACAGTTGTTAGGAAACCTGTGAATGAAGTTTGACATTCTTGAGTATTTAGCCTTAAGCAAGCGCATGCAACAACCAAACACAGCTTGTCAGTCGAGTTTGGTGCCAAGAATATTCTGCTGCCATACGTTTCCAAATCTTTCTAAGATAAAATGTCACCTCGGGAGTGTATGCAAACACGACTTGATCCCTTTCTCTCAAAGCAGTGTTGAAAAATATGTGCCAATGCCACAGAAATTATGCCAATATATTTTTGTTTTTGTGTACAAGGCATTTTTGTAACATTTATTTTAGAAAGATTTTAGTCCCCATAAATGCCATTACAAACCATTACTCTTTTGTAACTAGGAACAGGGGTGAAGATGAATCCTCAAAATAGCAAGAATAATGGTAAATCTGTGCATGTGAATTATATATTTTTTGGGGGTGGGGGGAATATCAACAGAATATAACTTTTTTTTTATACTTCATGCTCAATGAGCACCCTGTTACTTTGTGTCATTCTGTACCCTGCCTCAAACCATATTGAACATTTTGTGATGGCAATCCAGAACTTTACAGACAATCATGGCTCCCAATCTTGAGGTGTTTTGCTCCACGCACTGCCAAAGTTCTCCTTTTTTGCTGTTATTACCTGCAACTTCTTTTAATACAGTTAAAAAAAAACAAGCTGCATCACCATTAATGGCAGTGTGAAATGTGGGTGCTATTATATATTCTCATAAATTTCTAGGCAATTGGGGAGGCCCTTACCTCTACCCTGACCAAAGTGGTCATCCATCATGATAATAAGATAAAATCCAGATTCTGTGTTCGACTTTGGATGACTATCCTTGCTGGAGAGTATATGCTTCCTTAAACCTCAAATTATGGGAGAAAGGGGACAGAGGCAGCATGTCCCCCACCACAATGTCCTCCACATCTCCTTGAAGCAACTCTTAAGTGGCTTAGAGTGGTCTTATTTCCCTCCACAATAAATTGAAGGAGACAGTATAAGCGATGGTCTGACTTGAATGTAAGGTCTTGTGAAAGCTTTCCACTGCCGGCGATTTTATGAAGGATGTGGTGTGGTCGGGTCAGCACCCGTCAAAATATTCTGCGTCATTTTGGCACGCCGATGACTCTTAGCTCAACCAATGAGTTGCAAGTGTGGGCAAGAGTCGCTAATTAGGCGAGAGTCTCTTGCTGTATCAGCTCGGCCACAAGTGATCCCCTGATAATGATACACATGCATTCTACTAAAACACGCTGTCAGGCTGCAGACACACAAGGTTGTTCGGCAAATCCATAGTCGCATGCGACTCAGAAAATCTCAGCACATGAACAAGAACCGTCATCAGGAACCAGGGCTCAATAGCTCGGTTAAAAATAGAGCAGGACTGTGTTATTGGCAATAAAATGGTTGCACTACTCACTATAATAATTCTTCAAAAAGTAAAATCTTTCAGTTTCTGCAAAGTGACCAATGACTGCACATTTGCATCTTGAGTCACCTGTCAGGAATCCTTTTCCACTCCTCCATCATATCATCACCTCGCTGGTGGATGTTAGCGCAACCTTCCACTGATCATTGATCATTTTGTGACCTGTGAAGTCCAGCGGTTTGAATGATGTGTTGAGTAATTTTGAGGGAACGGTAAATTTACATTGTTACTGGGTCCTATGTTACGTGTCATTTCTGCCGTGTGGACCATTTAAAAATATATTCATGGGTGAGGGGTTTCATGAGATAATGTAAGTAAAGTATTCCTGAAAACGTCATGTTAATTGAGAAAAAAATGGACTTTAAAGGCGCTTAAACAAGTTGATACCAGTACCTTGGCCATCTTTTATCTGATTTCATTTAACTCAAACTAGAAATGTCTATGTGTAAACGCTATGCCATGAAGCATCCTTCAGGTGATTATGATACTGAACATGCGCCGTGTTGTATCATAAAATAATTAAATGCCAATAATAAAATGAGCTCAGTCTTTCCCATTCGAATGAATATATGAGGGAGGAAACCCCAAACTCACAAATTCAAAATTTATGAGACATTATTTTCAGCCAGGTTGAGAACTAAAAATGCTGTTGCAAACGACACAGCATTTGAAAGTGACTGTAAAACTGTAACAGAGGCAGCATGAATCACTGTAACATGAATGCAACGTTACAATAATTGTGTTGCGACTAAACGGAAGAGAATTCATCAAGATGAGTTGAAAATTTGGACTTATGAGAGACTATTGAGAAAATATGACAAAAGGAAGACTACATATCCAAATCACTTGGGGTCAAGGGGTTATTTTATGTACTTCATTTGTTAAGTACTGACGAACTGCCTCAAAAAACGAAGCCAATTGTGCGGACCACAACCACTTGGTAACAACCGATTCAGTGGCCTCGTGTGTTTAGCTATTGAGAGATAACACAGCTGATGGAAGCTCATCAATTTTTAATGCTGTTGAAACACATTTGTGGTGAAAACAGAAGGGTAGCATTCTTGAGATACTTGCGTCCAGATGTCTCAAAGCTGACAAGCCAGTTTGTTTTTTTCTGAATCTGGAAACATTTGCCTGGTCTACTTCAGGCTGATGAATTCTGTTCCATATTTCTCCTTTTACTTGGAGGAAAGCCAACTGTTTAGTGCTGTTTTGTCCATTCTTCTCTCAACCAGACTATCCCTAAGGATCTATTTTGGGAACAGCAGCAGAAGGATTCATGCCAAGGTAATGAAGGCTGAACACAAAAGGACGTCACCTGTCCTTGAAGGGCGCATGTCAGCTGGGATGTCAAGGAATAACAACATTCCTGTTGTCAGGAAAACATTCATCCCAGTGTGAAGTCATTATTTAATCGGACATCACCAAAATATAATTTAGATTACTTTGTATCTCCAGTGGCTTTTATAGATTTAAAATGGTGTGACACTACCCACTTGGGTTGGCTGCACACCAATAAAACTATACCACTGTAATCCATTTTACTGATGTCCTTTTTAAACTTTCATGTATCATCCCATTGACAATGTTCGAAAGCACATGATGAGCTATATGATTTATCAAAAAGAATAACAAGTGAAACAAAAATGTTATTTTCATCGAACAAATATAATGTAGGTCCCTATTACACATCGTCACCCTCTGAACTCTCCCAAACTAAAAACTGTCCACCAAAGTGCCCCAATAGGAGTGAATCGTATAATATGTGCCGGCATTTGGCTGTGACTATCTGCTACCTCTCACTCTTGTAGGCTTTTCATTCATCATCATGCCGCCTGTTTGTTGCTGTCCGTTTTGTTATTGTTCTTGTGTGACCACTAGAGCTTACATGTCATTTTGTTTCCACACAAAATAAATACAACAACTCAGCTGCTGTTTGGCCGTTTCGCCACACAGGTCCCACCCAGCCTTCCCCACAAAAATCTGTTCAAGCAAGAGCCCAGCCATACACCAGATGACTGTTTGTGTTTACTCACCCTTTTGCCCTCCTTGCCTGGTTCGCCTGACTGGCCTGGCATGCCATCCAGTCCCTGGATTGGAAAAATATATTATGGTGTATGTTGCTTCTTGGAAAAAAAGGCAATGCAGAAAGATATTTGAAACACCAGTGGACAACTATTAGAAATGCTCCCATTGATAGGTGTTTGTCATTAAAACACAGCGTATATAATGACAAAAAAAAAAAGTTCCACCTTTTTTTAAAAGACTTCAACTACAACCTTGGTTTGTTCACAATGTATTTGCAAATGCTGTAGAGGTTCAATTTGTGTGTTAAAATTAATTGCTGTGTTTGATTGCCATAGAAGGTCTGTGTATGGATATTCATAGTTCACATTCCGTTTCATTAGATATGTGATGTTAAATCAGTTACCTTTTCTCCTTTGTCACCACGGGGGCCCTGAGGGTGAAAAAAAGAAGAGAAAATGTGTTCAAACATATAAGAAATGAATTCATTCATTAACATGTTCAATTAAAACTGTCATGCTTTGTTATTTTCAGGAAAAAAAAAGTCAATTACCTGATCTCCTTTGAGGCATTCATTGACAGCCTAACAGTCAAACAAAACAAAACAAAAAACAGTCATTATGATTACAAAGATAATATTTTCATACATTATATGGATAAAAATATTTAGACATTTGGTTTGTACACCTACAGATGTGATCATGGAAGTGATAATGTGATCTACATTTCAAAATGGTTCATAAAGAGGTTTGTCTTAATACTTTTGGCTATGTCACCTTATATATACGATGAAACATTACAAGTTGGAAAGTCTCACTAAGGCGACACAACTGGGAACAAGGTATTTAGCCTTGGCCTCCATGACACTGAGAGTAGTGGGATCGTGGTAATTACAAGTCCCCAGACAGCCTAATGCCCACCACCCGGATCGGGAAAACAGGCGTTCATCCTCAGCTGGGCCACAAAATGGACACGAGACCAAACAGAACGTCTCACTTTTCAAATACAAGCCAAATGAACGGTGTTGTGTTTCAATTGGCATCCAAGAGTCAAAAGCTGTTGACTTTTCTTGGAAACAGCTGCCGAAACAGACGCCCCCGGCCCATGTCTTCTGAATTAGTCAGAGGCCTTGTTCAGGGTTGGAAAGTTAACAAGAAGCTTAAAGACACTTGAGGCTACAAGCTTCAGGACAGTCAGTCACAGCTCATTCATTCAACACATGTACAATGGTGCATCTGGTGAAGCCTTGGAAGATTTTATACCTGCATACTGGGCATATAACTTTGCTCAAGCAATCTATTCGAGATATTTTTCCTCAGTTTTCAGAAGTGTAAAATGTCATCTCTGAGCTGTCCTTGGGGGATGCGAATGTGCAGTATATATATCCATCTTATTTCAATTTCCAGAATTTTAGAAAACATACACCACAAGTTTTTCACTTCCAACAAAATGTTCCGTCGTGTTGTGAAGTTTCAACACTGCGCATAAGTAAGGCCTCAAGTAATTAGTTAGCAGTTAGCAATTTATTATGCTCACTGGCAAGGCAAAGCAAAGCAGTTTTATTTATACAGCACATTTCATACACAAAGCAACTCAATGTGCAGACTATGAACACTAAAAATTGAGATGTGCTAACAATCTCTGGAGTGAAAGGGGGTGAAAAGTGATTTTTATTAGATAAAACAAATGATGTTACAGGACAAAATAAAAATTTAACATGAATTGTCTTTATGTGACTGTTACAATCAAAGTGTCAATTATCAGATCACACATTGTATGTTACTTTCCAGTAGTGACAATTTTGATTGGACACGATACAGATGACTTTTTGGGTAACTATGATTGATACCGACACCAATACTTTGTGTGATATATTTTTTTCAGCCCAATAAAACACATGACAATAACCGACAACAACTCACACATGCACTTTTTTTGTTTATTAATTAGTGTGCATTTGGAAAATCTCCTGCCTGATGCTTTGGCGCTCTGTGTCCCCACTCACATCGGTCAGAGAGCGATCAAGGCATCTCCAGATTTTGGCACTCTGAATACCCGAATTGCACATTTCAACAACGCTGTGAGTTTCCGAATGGTTGGAATGGAGCAGAGCGTGCTTTGCTTCCGGTAATTTTCAGGTGTCATAAAATCGAAGAAAAATGGAATGGATCTACCTTTTAGCTATAACAGCCTCTGTGTATCAAGGAAGACAATTTATTTGTAAAGGAAACATCATGAGATAGAAGTACAAAATTGTGAACTTACAGGCAGTCCTGGAGCTCCAGGCAGACCACTATCACCCTGTGAACCAAGACAAGGTTAATTAATCAAATTTCAGTCAATGGCGAATGACATAGGTCAATAGCATATGGGACTAGTGCGTTACGAGTGAAGAAAGCTCGTTAATGTTTTTTTTTAATTATTATTGAACTATAATCACTGCTATCAAACCGTAATGTCAGCTAGAATAAGACTGGAATAATAGCTCAACATATGCACAAAAGAAAAGCCCATTAACTTCTATTTACAGTGTAGTGAGATGAAGCCTGTCAAAAAGACGTTTGCATAGTCAGACAGGACGGATTGGCTTGTGCCATTAAATGTGACATCTTAAAACAAGTAAAGTGGTACTGTAGAGGTGTGAAAGCTTTGCCGCATTAAGAATGGACAGTTACGATAGCAATGTTGACATTGAGGTGGTTGTGGAAAAAAAACATGTTTTGATAGCAGCACAGCAAAATATAATCATTATTTGCTCATCCTTTTGCCTCTCTCACTTTGTTTCCTCCTCCTACACTGTCCAACATTTCTAAGAGATCGCTCCCTTTCAATACCCGGAATAAAATCAGTTGGATCTCAAACTGAATGAAAGATACAACTGTGCTGGTAGTTTGTATCCACGTGTTATATCTGACTGAATATCACATTTGAAAAGATGCCTGCTGCGGACCATCTAAGGGGTTGATCACTACTTTATGCTTCCAAATTTGCCTCTTTTTGACAGTTTAACTGGGGGAAAAAAAAAAACAAGTTAAACTCCTTCCAATTCCACATCAGCGTGATAGGACACCCTGGGGACTGAGAAGCTCTGGTCCTTCTTGACTCCATGTTGGAAAAAATCAGAACCAAATACACTTAGAAGGTGTGATTTAATGACTCATTTGTGACGGAAGAGGGCTCGATTAGAGGAATCATCCGCCAAGCAAATAACTGATTCCAGGAAATCAAATTACAACAACCGTTTTTGATTCCCACCCCTTAAAAATACAGATTAAGTCAATTTCCAACCAGGCAAGTGATACATGTCAAGCACTGACTGTGAAGTAAGGTTGGGCATTGAGTCTCGAGATTTAATTGGAACCGGGAGTACCATTCCAATTTTTGCGGATTCGTTCGCATTTCAAAATTCCAGTTTCCCAGTTTGATGCCCTATCCACTGACCCGAAGAAGAAACTGCGTTAATCCAACGAAGAAGTGTGCGTCGCGGATGTGCATCTGAGGCTGATAGAAAATGTGTCTTGACTTTGGAAAAAAAAATTAAAAACATGAAGAGCGTTTCAGTGAAAAACATACAATAAGATTAGATTGTGCAAAGGCAGTTGCATGACAGGTATAATTTATAACAGGAGTGTCATGTCTGACGAGCGCAGAGCTCCCTCCCACTACAAGCCTCAGCTTGGAGTCAAACAGGGAACCGGAATCCTTCAAAATCAAATGGTGTCGACCCTACTCTGAAGTAACCATATTTATTCTACAGAAAATTTCCATTGTTTATGGGGCTATGGGTGGCAGAAGCACTCACTTTTTGTCCCTTGGGACCAACTGGTCCTGGGTCACCTGCTGGACCCTGAGAATGAAAACATATGAGGTGTATGATTTTCACCTACATGCAACATCAGTCAGTATGTTTGAAAGTGGTTACGTTGAGAAGAAAAAGTTTTTGTGTGTCAGCATTGTGATGCTTTTCTCATGCATATGTAACATTGGTTGTTTCTCCATCCCAAATGTAAGAAGAATGGACTTTAAACATTCAGACCGGATTAAAACCCTTTGAAACTTGAAATTCTTGATTGGTTTTACACTGCAGGTCTTACGGCCGACGCCGATAACACATACGTAAACAAACATGACCAGTAAGCATTATAGTCACTTTGGTTTGATCTGGATTCAGTCGTTCAAAAGCCAAGTTATCTCCATATTACTTCACTTGGCTTGTTTGTCCATCTTTTTCCAACGTAAGGACATGTGTACTTTCTCTGTTTTTTATTTTGCGCAATCATGCTGTTTGAATCTGGGCCAAATGAGGGAATTAAAAAAATGTCACAAGTCACTGCCGCATACTATGTGAATTATGTCACTTAATGACAACACAGCTAAGAAAATTGCCCTTTGAGATACAACCAAAGTCATGACTGTTAAGGCCAGTGGATACGATGTCAAAGCATACACACGTAACCAGCAAGAAAAACCACAATCTGGTCATTTATAAAGTCTCAATCTCTGACCCTTTGTGCCCGAGCAAGAACCGTTTCTATAATTGCTTTCACACATATAACCAGTGGCTTGGTCTGAGTAAAGGCAAGCCTTGCGAGCATGAAATGAGGGAGATGGGTGGGATGGGGAGCAGTTGCTGATGGATGAGCCTTGACGCGTATTGACAGGGTAAATTGTTAGCAAGCCTCGTTAGGCGTGACACATTCGGGCTGGTAAATGCGAGTCTCCTAAATAAGTTAGGAGAGGCGAGGAATGGGGCAGGGGCGGTGAGAAGGACTGCAAAAACATTTGTAATGGTTAAATTAGGTGTCAGAGAAACTATTAATAGTAGATGATTGCATACCTTTATCACACAAGTCTGGCTCAACCAGAGATGTGACGAACTTATTCTTTATTGCTGCAAGCCTCATCTTAAACAGTGTCATACAAATACCAAAGGTTGGTATCCAAAAACATGGAGAAGAATTGCCGCCAACTTGATTCGGCTGCGATGATTTTGTCATGATTTTCAAAATGTGAGTCTCTTTGCGCGCCTCCAAAAAATGGCGGCGGATCAAAAGTGTTCTGGTCGTAAAACATGAGAGCCAAATTCAAATTGACAGGCCAAGCACTTCACTGTGGCAATGTGACACACACGGGAGGAATCCTGCAGCTAATTTCTTTGTGAAGCTATTACTCGACGTGGTAGGAATGAAAGAGTATTGGGGATCAAGGCTCAATTTGATAACGAGCACGTAAACAACTCTAGGCTTAGTCAATTACAGAAAGGAATTTGATTAATCGGAATATGCCACCCTTTCTGTAATGAGCAGCCCTGCTCTCATTATTGTACTGAGAAGGTCTGGTAATATGAACACGATGTCTTGTTATTGGTATTCTTTAACAGTCATTTTGTTGTTTGGACAAAAACACTTTGGGGACTGACAGTAATTCCCAAACATAGAACTGTGGGCTGAAAACAAATTAAAATCATTGACTCCAATGATTTTTACATACTCACTCCAGCTATAAAGAAATAAAAACTTGCTTACATGGTGTCATAACAACAACATTTAATCAATTATTAAAGCTACAATTTACAGAAATGTAGTTATTATATAAGCTTTAGATCAGGGGTGTCAAACTCATTTTTGTCGCGGGCCAGATTTTAATGACAGTTTCCCTTGGAGGGCCGTTATGACTGAAACCATATGAAGAAGTCAAGAATCACGTTTTTTCACCTATTGTTAAAGTTACTGTTATGAGGAGTTTGGTAACAAGAAGATAATTCCACTATCACTCTTATTTATTACAAATGAGAGTTTGAAATGTTGGTAGAGATTTTAGCAAGCATCATGAAAGTTGACATCTTTGATTTGGTTTTGCGGGCCACATAAAATGATGTGGCCGGCCAGATCTGGCCCCCGGGCCTTGAGTTTGACACCTGTGCTTTAGCTCAAGGGTGGCCAGGTCCGGTCTTTGAGATCCCCTATCCATGCTGTTTTAGATCTTTCCCTCTTCCAACATACCTGATTCAAAAGATCAAGATCACAGTTAGGTTTCTCAGAGCTTGCTGATGGGCTGATCATTTGAAGCAGGTGTGTTAGAGGAGGGAGGCATCTAAAATTGGCTGGATACGGCCTCTCGAGGACCCGGATACGGGCAGCCCTGCTTTAGCTCATCAGACACTAGACTTGCTTGAGAACAACAACTTCCATCACTGCATTATTGAATCACCTACTTTAGTCATCTATTAGTGGTCAGCCTTTACTACGCCACAAAAGGGTTTCACATAAAGACATTTTGATGGACGGGCATAGAAACAAATAAAAACAAATGTTTAGCCATACAAGTCAGCATTATGCCATTGCGCTGAATGTAGTTATTGTAATTTGTGGATGCCCTTACGCTGGCTTCTCTTCATTGAGCTAGTCCTATTTTGGGATTCATTTTTTTCTCTTCAAAAAAGCTCCAAAGGTTTACCTTTGCTTGGGCTCCCAGTGGAGAAGCAGTTTTGATCACTTCATCACCTCATTTGCGAGACTGTTGAGGCATATTACGTGGGATGATTTTTGACTATAAAAAAAAAATATCGGACTACCAATATTGTCTTACATTTTTGATATTGTCTTATATCGTCTTTGGGATATTTGGCCGACTCCATTTTTGAAAAGTGTTTATATACTTATTTTTGCCGGCTCACTGACTTTTTTCCATAACATGGGTGAATTCACCTGACTTCCAAAATGAAACTTTTAAATTCTGATCATCTTTTAGAATATATTTTGCTCAGTCTCTCGAGCGTGCGGCCCGGTACCACATGACCAGCTGCCCATTACCAGTCTGTGGCCAAGTAGCAGGCTGGTAGTTGGTGAATCAGCCAAGACACAGGCCTTATTATTCGCATAAATGTTTTGGTTACGATATAGAGTTGCATGTGTTATTGTCAAGACTTGCACACAGTCAAATGACACGGAAATATTTTGTATAAGACATGATGGCACAAATTCAGTTGGAGCATTAATTAATTGGCTTGGCTTCTCTAGTTTCTTATATTTTGCTATATCTCTTGTGATAGATCCCTGAGTGGTTCTACTAAAGTGTCAATTAAGAGTTTTGTCTTGTTGCCCATTTCTTACTGCAAATTACTGATTGCTTGTGTAGAATAGAAACAATTTCAACATGTCCTGATAAATTGATCTTAATTAGAACCCCAGCAGAACCTATTCATGTTGTAATTTACTGAAGCTGCAAAGATGTCTTCTTAATTTACCATGTGTGCCTTTGTGATAGAAGGTACATTCATTCAAATCAAATGCTTTGTGCTTTGTGAATTCATTCAACGTTGCGAGTTTGGAATAATGCAGGACGAAACAATTGTTTGAAAATAAAACAGTTTTCCATGTGATAGGTGACATTTATTTAACAGGCACCAGGGCATTAATTAATTTGTCATTGTTTCACAAATTTAACAATTATCTCATACGGAAAAGCAGCTAACAAACAAACATCCATCCTTTCCATACATTTTCTCAACCATCAATCCTCGTTCGTGTCATGGGAGTGCTGCAGCCCAACTAAAGTGACTTTGTGTGAGAGGTGGGGTGTACCATTCCGACTCAAATTCACATCTACGGACAATTTAGAGCAGGGGTGTCAAACTCATTTCACATGGTGGGCCACATACGGCCTTGGTAGATGTCAAGTGGGCCGGACCATTAAAATGATACAATACTTTGCTATAAATAACCAAAACAATATGTCTTTCCTTTGTTTTGGTATAAAGAAGCACAAGAACATTAGGAAAATGTTGAAATTTAATGAACATATCTTTTACAAAACATTTCATGAAGCACCTTACATTTCCTTCGACAAATGTGCAATTTACTTTTATCATTCACATATATGCATTGCAACTGATCCCACTGATTGTACAAACTTTAACAAGTAATTGGTATTGAAAAATATAGTAATGCACTTTAAGAGTAAACAAGATTCATAAAGAAAGCAAGTTTTAAAGCATTTACACATGCATATAAAATCTAAATGTAATCCCTGCCTACACCTTACAAACTAAGGAGAGTGCTATTAAATGTGTAAATGTGAGAGTGCTATTGATAGCGTCTGCTGTCATGGGTCTGTCTCAGTGACAGACTGAGGCTGCTGTTGTCTTCTTCTCTGATCAAAACAGTGTCCCCTTGCGGATACTCAATGAATTGCACCTGATTAAAAATATTAATTCTGTGTCTTTAATGCATTTTTTTCACTTTTACATTATCCTGCGGGCCTGATTGAACCTACTTGCGGGCCGGTTCCGGCCCGCGGGCCGTATGTTTGACACCCTTGATTTAGAGCCTTCAGTGGGGCCAAGAAACATGCTTTTGGAATGTGGGAGGAAGCACGTAAGCCTGGAGCCCGGTATTGAGCCCTCATTCTCGCCACTCGCCCACCGTGCTGCCCAGGTAACAAACAACCTGTATAGTGTATTTGGGAATTTTCCCATTGTGAGACAAATAAATGTTTGCTTATCTTAAACTGATAAGTTGAAGAGAATCCCAAATGCCATGAGAGAACTTATAATTGTTGCTCTCGCACAAATAGGCGTTTTTGCTGTTTTTCTGACATTTGAACATCCTAACATTTATCAAATGCTGCAATTCTTACATTATCGGAATTTGATTTAAAAAATATATATATTTTGCATGTTTATGTGCTGATTCTAGTCCCAAATAAGGGCATACTTTGATTTGGCTAGTAGCCGTGTGTCTGCTGAAGCACAGTTAAACCTTCCTTCCTCTTTCACGACTGCATAAGTGCCTTGTCTCAAATGTCTTTAGGTATGTTATTACTTGTGATATGACACAGCATTGGCCATGTACAAACAAGTACACTGTGCCAAAGAGCACCTCTTCCAGCTCAAGCCAAGCACTAAGTGAAATCGAACTGTGCACATGGATGAAGTGTTCTTTCTTTTAGTATTTTCATAGATGGGCGCAGGTAGACAAGTGCTTTTGCACCATTGTGGGAGTGAACACAGCCAACTTGATTATTGGCAAATCGAAGTGACTCCTCTCAGTCCCATCCATCCATTTTCAACAAACAAAAATGTTTATTTCTCCCGTCGTTACACTTGCCGTCTTTTGCATAACCTCGCTTGCATGCTTATTTTCACGGCATTGTGAGACCATCGAAGCATTTCAGGTGCACAAGGACACAAGGGACTGAGTTTGACACATAGTTATCTTTTGTTGCAAGCTGTGGGCTTTTGCTGTTTGTACATGATGGGATGAAGGCGAGGAGGAGGTAATGACGGGTGCTGTCTGTGTGACTGTGCTGCAGCACAAGGTCAGAACGCTATGGGGAGCTGTGTGTACACTTGCCTGCTAATTACACACACCGCTGTGTCTCGTTACTCCTGTAGCGGTGGGGCTGCAAGACAATCTGGCAACTCCCCAGCCCGGGACAACTAAAGCCACACAAGCAGGAGTGCACCAATGCAGCCTAATTATGTTTACTGATACGTATTACTAACTGAACCAGCTCGGGGTCTGTGCCCCGTCTAGCGAGCAGTGGGATGATTACAAGTCTCTCCAACTGTATATGTTATAATCATCAACAAACCAAGTTTGTCTGTTGGGAAATAGTCAAAATTAAAGTAGAAGTTGTTTGAAATATTCCTAGTACATATACCAGCAGAGAAATATTGTTCCAGCAAAAGGACAGAGCGAGAGTAGGATCAAGCTATCTAAGCAACGTAGATATCTTGAGTGTTGACACATAAAGACAGCCATGTTGCAGCAGGAAATGCCTTATGTGCCTTTCCATTTTCTCACGATACACCATCACACATGGTCTCCTGCTGTGAAACTAATCACAGTGAGTACTGGGAATTACTGCTAGTGAGCATGCCTATTACTCTTCATGAATGACAATAGTTTACCACAGGGATCGAAACATAAAGTACTCTTCTGTAAGAAAACACAGTCAAAGAATCAATTGCGTTGAGGCTTCCGTCTTCCCTCCAACATCGTGTACTGTATACACAAATGGAAGTGGTTGCTGGATTTTCCACTGCACTCTCTCTCTCTCTCTCTCTCTCTCTCTCTCTCTTTCCCACCCATAGGATGTGTATCTGTTGAACAAGATCTTGGATCACATGGTCATACATAAGATTCTCACTTCTCAGATGTCTCGTTGAGCCTTAAATAAAACCTAGGCTTTAAAAAGGAACATGAGCTCATTACAGCAACAGACAGGTCAGGTAGATTGTAGATGTTCATGGTGTTAAATAGGTTCACTCAAATCATTTAGTCTGGTTGAATGTAAAATGTTTGGGGGGAAAAAAAAATATATATATATATATATACATTTTTTTCACATACATACATATATATATATATATACATTTTCCATTCCGCTTTATCCAGCTGTCTTCGGGCAGTAGGCTGGGGACACCCTGAACTGGTTGCCAGCCAATCGCAGGGCACACATAGACAAACAACCATTCGCTCACAATCACACCTAGGGACAATTTGGAGTGCCCAATCAACATGCCATGCATGTTTTTGGAAAATGGGAGGAAACCGGCTGACCGGAGAAGAAAACCCACACAGGCACGGGGCGAACATGCCAAGTCCACATAGGAGGCCGGAGCCGGAATCGAACCCTGCACCTCTGCACTGTGAGGTCGACGTGCTAACCCGGCGACCACCGGGTCGCCAGAGTGAAGACACATTGTGCTATAAAAAGGTCACATTCTCACGTATTTAATTTTGCGGGAGAATTACTGCCATTGAATGTTTTTGAACGGGTGGAGTTTCTGTCCTGTTATGTGGTCTCCTCAATAAATTTGTAGCTACATAATCTTGAACAAAGTCAGCAATGTGGGGCCGTTGGTGATGAGGGTGGCATGTTGATGTTTAAACTCACGATTGTAACAAGCTAATGAAGCTTTTGTTGTTTGCCATTTGTCCCGCAACCTGCGTTTTACATACATTACTGCATGCAACCATAAATTGTCTGCTTTTATTTACTCCGATTGAAGATTGCTGTCCAGCTGCAATTCAACGTCAACACATCACAAAGATAGTGAGAGCATAGAGAATCATTTGGCAATGGCCCGAAGGATATGTGTGCTATTCATACAACAAAAATCTGCAAATTCTTGTTTCCATGGCAGTTCCTCAAGGTAGACAAACTTTACCTTGCCAAAACACATCTTAATTACAATTTAGGGCATTTCTTCAATATCCCCACTGAAGAAAATCTCTATTACAAATGTTTCCCCTCTGAATAGGGAGATGTTTTGATGACTGTGAGTGTGCCAGCCAATCCACAATAAAGTGACCATCTGCACAGCCTCCACCTATATCGTACCTCAGTGGGTAAACTAACAGTTTATCATTAAACATGTTCATGGGTACTAAAATGTAAGTTGCTCTCACCTGATCTAGGCTAAAACAACTTCTGTAAAGTTCTAAAGGACCGAATTCATAAACTCACAGCAATCCTTTTACCTGCATATGCTGCTGAGCATACTGTGGCAACCATATGGCTTACAGTGGACACATTAGCCGAATCACCGCAGTTCAATTTGCGAGCCTGCAATAAAGTTTAACCTGAAGTGACATCGAAGAGGCATACAGTAATTTGAGAAATTAGTTTAGCCCATTAGTATGCCAAGCCCATGGCAGCACACATATCAATTAGTTGGACTGCAAAAGGACACCGAGGGCGAGAGCAGACTCAGATCTACTTCAACTATGTTAGGCACAAGAAAACAGACACACAGTAAATTATGCTTTGCTCCTCATGCCCCGGCGCACCCCACAGAAAATGAAAAGCCGATAAGAATTGATTCTCTGATGATGCTCGATCTGGCTGATATGCTATGCATGGAATATACAGTATATATATATACTGTATATATATGTCGGCTGGAGGCGGCCCTTTACCTTCTCGCCATTGACCCCCTTCTGTCCTTCTGATCCATCTTCTCCCTATAGTCACAAAAGTGAAAGTAAAAAAAAAAAAAAAACCTTGAAAAGTTTGCATTTCAGTCCTCGTACTGTCAGTCAATCATATTATACAACTTCGTATGAATTATGATTGGAGGAAACCTGACGAAATATAAAATTGCTAATCAGCTACACTGTAGAATAGCTTGAAGCAAATACAAATCGACAACAAGTCCCAATTTTGAGTCATGGTTCTGGGATTAAATTCATTGTATTGTGAGTAATTGAAAGATTAGAGTAAAATTGTGTCCCAAGACATAAATTCTGTGCAGTGGTAGAAAACAAAGCAATGCCCAGACAAATGCATTTCACCCAGCAATTCTCTAAAATTGAGTGCCATGCAACACACTCTCATCACAGCCATATTGGTACATAACTACAAGCTCAAGAGACCAAATATTCTGTGTGATGCTCTTCAGTTTTCATTTCTGAGCTGTGGGTGAAATGTCATGAAACTCCCTGGCAATGGTATTAATGTAACCTATAGAGTTTTATAACCTCATGGCCAAGTTGTGGGCCAATAAAAAGTCTGACTGTTTCATCCAAGGACAAAACTGCATTTACTGTTATGATAAAAGTAGCTGCAGCAAACTTTTCCAATGTGGCTATCACTGAAGCCTGAAAAAATGCAGCATCACTCAGTCCTTATGGCAGGAACTAAAAGTATTACTATAAATAGATAAAATGACATTACTTTGAAACATTACACATTATGATAGACACTGATTGGATCATGACAAATAAAATCCTCTGAATGGCTCTGAAGGAGCGTCGTGCTGACACGATCGAAAAATCTCCATATGATTTAGGCCCAGGATGAGGACAGCTTCTGACTCCAAGGGCCATATTTTCACCGACAGGCATACATGAGCTTTTGTCCGGGGCAAGTCTAGTATACCGTTTTTTGCAATTTGGCAGACCGTGCGACACCTCGCTGAGCGTTTTCTATGACACGCACAGACGCACCTGACAATTCGTTGACAGAAAATAGACTGGACTTCAGACCGGATGTAATTAGCTCTAAATTTTGGCACAGGTGGTTTAACGGGATTTTGGTGGATTTGATCAAGGTGTCACACACAGTCTCACGATCAGGTGTTGAAGGCGGTCTTCAAGTGCCCAGTTCATAGCGGCCAAATTTACATCATCTGCAAGTGAAGATATTCATGCGTTTCCTTCTTGACGTACTTAGTAAAGTAAAAGGTTAAAAATTACAGAACCTACCTTCTGACCCTGGCTTCCTGGACAGCAGGCCTCCCCTGGGTCTCCCTGTAACAGAAACACAAAGAACAGTTAACGAATGGTTTGCAATTCTCAAGTTATTCTTATAGTGCTTGTTTGATAATTTCTGACTTCTCGGCCGCTCAGCATCTCGAAGCCTGCAGACTACTTCCCAAAAACCACATTACGAAGATAAATGTGTGAGTATTATCTGTCGTATCTTTGGGTAAGAAGTTACAAGACTGGACAGTAAAGAAAAGGAAACATGTTATGAGAGAGATGGTAGGGGTAGATAAACAACTACCGCAATATAAAAAAGTGGCAAAGAAAAAAAAAATCAGCGAGACATTAAAAATCAAACTGAGTGACTGAGTTCTATTTGGTGTGATTTTGGTGTGATTTATTGAAATGAGAAAAAAATAATTTGGCTAATTCTTTTGTATGTGTCTCAAAATGTGCAATTTTAATGAAGTGTAAGTATCACACTTGTGAACTGCATTGCCAGGTACTGTCATTCAAAGAACGGTGATGTTAGCTTGCTTCCTTTTTACAGACATAAATAGGTTTTTTTGTCCCCCCGACCACCGCCCACCCACCCACCCACTACCAACTGCTACCTTGGCAATAAAATTGGTAGGCTTTTGATTGGGGCACTGTCTTTTAGCATGAAGGCCAATCCATTCTGTCAGGAAAATACAGTGAATTTAATTTGACATCAGTGGTCGTAGTGGTGGTACAGTGGTTAGCGCGTCGACCTCAGAGTGCCTAGTTACCGGGTTTAATTCCAGCTCCCTCTGTGGAGTTTGCATGTTGCATGCGTGGTTTTTCTCCGGGTACTCCGGTTTCCTCCCACATTGCAAAAACATGCATGGCAGGCTGATTGAACACTCTAAATTGTCCCGAGGTGTGAGTGTGAGCGCGGATGGTTGTTCATCTCGGTGTGCCCTGTGATTGGCTGGCAACCGGTTCAGGGTGTCCCCCACGGCTGGGATAGGCTCCAGCACCCCCCGCGACCCTTGTGAGGATGAATCGGATCAGAAAATGGATGGATGGATAGTGGTCGTGGTGCTGAAAAGCTGTACACAAAGGTAATTGTTGAAGAGGAAGTTTTAATTTCACTATTATGTTTTTCCCCCCCGTCCTTTTGTGTGCACATACAGAAGCTCTAAACCTAGTAATACCAGGGTTTATATGCGAGGCCATGCAAAATGGATTTCCTTTCAAGTAAGCTCCATTCTTATAACCACTACTTATCTGTTTAATTTCCTGGGGGATTTTGGATTAATCATTGCTGTCTAATCCTTTTGCAGTGTATTAGAATCCTCCATCCAACCCTCACTGTAATGCACGATAGTACTCGCTGTTAGAGTAAAACAGTCAAAGTAAGCCAAGAACTGCACTTCTCATTATGCATCTTTTAAATGTTCCGAATTGCCCAGATATCTTTGAGTAATCATTACAAGTCATGCTAAATTGCTAATAGGTACACTGAGCATTTTTTTTTACATTTCTACGCAGAAAGGGATTCTGTAAAAGTAATTGCAAGCCTCACTACTTCACCTCATTAATGTTTGCTTAATGACATTGTTAGCCTCTTTTTATGAATTATGAATATACACTTGTAAAAGTGTACAACAGAGATTAAAAGACAATGGAACCCCTAAGGATTTTGGGTATCAATTTGAGAGACACAATCCTAAATCAGGCTGCACTGAAAATTGCATGCTGTGAAAAAGAAAAGCACTGCTAGGATCATTTGTGTGTCAGTCTTTCCAACATAACCGTATTCCAAAACCAACTCTTTTCTACTACCTCACTTGAACTAAAAACAAAAAAATCGACTTTGACATATTTATTTTAGGAGTGCTATGGGAGGGTTATGTGGCGCTGAGTGAAGGCCTACTACATCTGAAAGGCACCGCGTGCCACTGAAGGAGTGAAGGGCACAGTATGTTATCAGCCCACAAAGCCTGTTTGCCACCATCATCCTGGAGTGCAGGCCTCAATCATGGTTTTCCTTATCGTCATTGATTTCGTGTTCAAGATGGTAATAGGATTTGTTATGAATTTTGGTGTTCAGCGAGTAAACAAATGGTGCCAGGTATTGATTGGTTGAAAACTAGAAATTGCATTTCAGGTGTTAACAATGGAGGCCAGCACCTCAACTTTTTCAAAACATAGTCCAGAGCGGTAATGAGAAAAAAAATTAAAGGGCCTGTGTTTGTGAGAAGCATGCTGAAACCCATCTTGAGTATAAAATCACACCTACTTCAATGAAATGTTTATCTTTGAAAATAAAGATATAAACCAAAAGGGCTTTTTTTTTTTTCAACCAAAGAATGCGATGATAAATGAGGCCACCTTGGCTGCTGTGCTGCATTTTGGATGGCGTGCAATTTGTTTTGTTGCCCTCTGAGTTTACACTGAGTAAAAATATAAGCACAATGCTTGTTTTTCTTCCATTTTTCATGCGATGAACTGAAAGAGCTTAGACTTTAGAGAAAATAAACTGTTACTCATCTGAACTTTCCACTGGAAATGCCCGATACGTTTCCATGCATAAGGTCCATTTAATAATCTTCACTTTTGCATTGGTATCGCTTTGTACTGTGTTCACCGCGGTACAGGGCAAAGGAAAGTGTTTTGGTTCAAGCTTGCCATATAAGTCACTAGTTTTTTTTGAGCAAGAGGAGTAAGACTACCAGCGGCAGCAACGAAATGGAAACAGGTACATTCGCTGCTAAAGGCACGGCAGGATCTCGGGGAGTTCAGGCTCATCCATGAGCTACAGCTATTTAGAGGCAACTTTACTGTGATCTTTTTGGGCACCATCATCACATTTTTCCTCTGCCAACACTGATAGCTTAAAAGTATCAGAAAAAAATGCATGGGAATCCAATCTCAATGTACTGATACCTCACGTAAAGTGTTGAGGTCTCACATGAAGAGCATCGTGTGTATTTTGTATGCCTTTCAAATTGACTTGAAGCATATTACATTTTCAAAAACAAAAGATTGGTTTTACATGATGATAGGTAAATTGCCCATCTTTTTGTGGCCTTTTTTGGGGGTGGAGGGATGGGGGGAAATTTTGCTCTGTTCTTCAGCAAAAAGACACTTTTTAGTTCAAGTATGATTTGGCTATTAGACTGTCATGGAAATAGGATTGTTGTCTTCAGGACTAATGCCAATCACATGATTTATGGGACAAGTACATAAGACTCCTCAAGATGATGATAATAATGATGACAATGATCAAGATTTTTTGTCCTCCCATCAACTTTTAGTTTTTCTATATTTAAAGACTGTGCATCGCAAATGTTCATAGAAATGTATTCTTCCTGTGATATTTCATGTGTCACAGGGTTACGCATGAATACAATGGATCCCTGATATTCACCAAAGGTAGGGACCATCCCTCAGTATATAATTGACGCCCACTGAAATGTATCGGGGAAAATAAATGAATACATTCAAACCCAAACAATTCTTCAAAAACACTGAATGAGATTCAATATGCATTCTTCACAAAATAAATAAATAGATAAATAAAAATAAAACTAGGGCGCAAATGCGGGGTGGCAAAAAACAAACACCCAAAGTATTAAAAAATATTAACGAAAAAAAACACATCTATATTTTTTAATCTGCGATTATGCGAATTCATGGGTGCCGAACAGCAGGTATGTGGGGGACAACTGTAATACATTTAAACATACTTTTTCTCCCACATCCCCTTTTGGTCCAGGAAGTCCAACTAGACCAGGAAGACCAGCATCCCCCTATGCAAATAAACATAAATTAAAAAAAAATTATATGTTAAAATATAAACATACAGTAGATAACATACCAATCATAGATTATGTTCATTTTTTTGACCATACACATACACAAGTAGATTTAATTCATACAGTCTGAATTGATTTGCATTAAAAGAAATGATTCAAGCCTTTTGTTGACATATTTTTACTTTTGTATCAATTGGAAAGCTGCCATCGGTCTTTGTAATTGTGTGCATAAGCATTTAAATGAATGACCAAATAATAATTTAATTAGATGACTGTACTTTTTTTTACTGACCCCAAAAATAATGGCTTAGTGTGGAACTGGCCATCTGCTACTCTCAAAGAAGACTCAATGTTTCCAGGTTTGAATTAGCATTTCAATTTGCGCTTTGTTTTTGCAGCTGAAATAATAATTTACTATTGTGAAGAATTCATAGCATAGTGCATGATGTGCCATGCAGAAACAATCAAGGAGCACGACATCGGTGTTTACTCTTGGTGTACCACGATTGCTTGTCTTCCTGGAGGGGAAATGGGTTTCCATATAAATGTCCTTTAACTGGACATTAGGTGTTTGTAAAGGATGGTCAAAATCATTGTTGACAGGGTTACAATCGACATTACATGTGCTCAATTAAGGTCCCTTGGTGCTTAAAATTGATTGTACCTTTTCAATTGGACAGTGACATCTGTCATTTGGCTGTGTAGCTCGCTGAGACAGCATCTGTGGAAGCTGGGCTGTAGCTGGAGCTGGGGAGGTGCCATTAATTGTCTTCTTGGCTTCACACTGGATCAATACAAAGAATACACCCATTGAGACACTTTTGTCTTGTTCGCAACATGCTAAATAATTTAAAAAAAACAGCTATACAATATCACAATTAACATACGTCTAGGGAGCGGTGTTGCATTCATGTGGCGACGTAAATAGAAAAGACCATTGACATACAGAACAATAATAAGTCTGTGTGTGACAGCCCAACACAAGTAGCAATATGCCTAGAGAGATAGAATAGTAAAGGTCAAAGGCCACCGAACTATTGGAAATCATTGTAACATTAGTAAGTATTGATTTTAGTCTGGTTTTTTTTTTTATGTTGTGGACTTCAGTACTACATGGATACGGTACTGTGTTTCAGGGTATCAAGTCCCGCTCAGCCATGTTTTCTAAAACAGTGTTTTCAGTGTTTGCATGCAAGATTCCCCCTTATGTGATATGTTCAATGGTGTTAATAATTTTTTGCTTCACACATACTGTATATACAGTAGCTCTTCAAGTCTATACTGGCAATATGGCTTTCTTCAGAATTCTGATTGGCTAAAAAGGCCTTACATGAGGAGGTTATAATGCTTCCCTATCCTTTTGGTATGTGCTTAACATTATGTGAGTGTCTTTCGAGTGGATTGGACAGCAATTGGTCACGGTATGACTTTTTAGACCCTGGAGATAAGATATTTGTATGTAGGCTAGATATAGAATATATTGTGTATGTATAGAATAAATGCATGTTGATACGATTGGAGGAAAAAAAAAAAACTATGTTGCTGACATGAATATTTTACCTTTGACTCCAGTATCTCGCAGCATGTTTCCATATCGACTAGGTAAGGATCACAGTACAGGATTATTTGTTTGAGTTCAACCTGGGGAAAAGAGTACTTTTAGTGGAACGCTGTGAATCATGACATTCAAACTTCAGGGACTGTGTCCAAAGAAATCCTGTAAATTCAGATCACTTAAGGTTTCAGCTTCACCTTGAACTGCATCTTATTCTGAGCCAAGTTTTGACACTTCCATTTTGGTGATGCGCTGACTCATACCTTTACATAACATGTGAACCTAAAGGTCAGATGCTCATGGAACTTTAATCTAGTAAGCCACACTGACTAAAAGACACAAGTGACATACTGTTTTTTTTTAGCACTGTTGACCACATCTTGAAAACATGTTCAGCATATATGAAGCAACATCATGGACATTTCTAGAAAGCAGTGGGAACTTAAAGATGGAGCACGCACATCCACAGGTCGTCCATCCTGTATTCGGGTGGTGATGAGTGTACGCCCACTCGGGTTGATACTGTCCCTTTCGGCAGTCAGCCTCCTTTCTATTAGCTTGCAGTCCATGTGAACAGAGACGATGTTGCTCTGTACAGAAAAGCTCAGCTTGTGCCATTGGCGATCAAAGAGGGTGTGTAGGTCACGGCTCTTAAATGTGTAGCGGAGCAGGTTTTTCAGCAGGCCCTGAGAGGAAAACTCCACCGCCTTCTTGCCACCATCAACCACAACTGACACCTGCGGGGACAAAGGGGAGTTCAGCAACAACAACAAAAATACCCACCTATTCCCTTTTCTTGTATAGTGGAACCTTTAAAGTCAAACACACCTGAGTTTATATAATTCTCAGTGTGACTGATTTTATTTTTTTTTTTTTATGTCTTAAGGTTACAAAAACTTGAGAGTTCAGAACTTTTGAGAGGATCAAAGCTTACCGTGTGTTTTCCTTTGCTTATTTTGACCGATATACAGTATACCTTTTTAAATATATAACTAAAAACAGGTTAAAACGGGGTATATTTCAGGCTTAATCTACCAAAATTAATGGTAATTCAGAACATTTTTTATTGTGTGGAGTGGGGGCGGGGGTGGGGGGCATTCTTGCTATTTGTATTCACTGTAAACACCAACTGCTAACATTAGGCAGTGGCTTTGACAGCAAAGTAGCATTTCTGATGTCACTCTACCAAAGTTAGGGTAGAGTGTTTTAATGATAATCAAGCCGAGAACAGCACGTTGTCAATCAAGTTTTTATATGTTATTAACAGTGGTGAACTTATTTTTACATTTGTATAACAGTTAAATCATTTAATCAATTACACTTAAAATCTTAAAAGGTTAAATGACAGCAACAGTTTGACAGACAGGGGTTAACATATTTCCCTTATTTCCTAAGGGAAAAAGTTGCAGACAATATAAAACACAAACAAAAATGAAGTCAACCAAGTGTTGTGTTTGACTTTGGAAGTTCCACTAAGTATGTAATGTTGATTTTGACGCTCACCTGCGTGTCTCCAGCTTGGTCGAATATCTGCCAAAGATACCATCGGTCTTTTTTTGTAGTTCTTCTCACACGAAAGATGGTGACAAGGGAAAATTCACTCGGCAATCCATTTGGGAATACTTGTCTAAAAAAAATGATTTTCAGACAGTTATGTGAATATGTTACATTTATGACAAGAATATCATGATTCAAATAAGAGGCGTGTCTCGGTAGCGGATTAACACCCAACACAAATGTCTGCAATCAATAAAGCTTCTGCTTCATGAATAAATAACACTGACACATTTGATACCATTTACTTTGAGCCTCCCTAGCCTTCAGCTAATGAAAACATATAGGCATTGATCCAGAGTCACACGAACCAATCTTTTACCTTGTCTGCGCTACTATGTGCTGCAGTTATTGGCTCATAGACGCCTCATGGAATGAAAACGTTTGTTTATGTGTTTGACCTCAGCTGCTCTGGAAAGTCAAATAACAATTCCGAGCCAAAGAACGAATATGTGGAGAAGATGGGAGGTTGTACGATATAGGAAAAACAATATCATTTTTTTACATCAGCGGCACCACACCAGCTCACCCCCATCACCCTTGCATGAATTACAGCCTGTTCAGTCACTCATCGCACAGCCTCACGTCTTTGGACTATTATAGATTGCATAGATTGCATGATAAAGAACAGACAGTATTCCTTTTAAAACGCTGTTATTCACGCCCCAAAATAGAGGCACCAAAACAAACTAAATCAATATCAGAAAAAAATAGTGACCCAGAAATACCATCATTGAATAAATTAGGTTCATAAAATAGTTATATATTTATACTTTGCATACTTTTCAGCTCCTAGGCTACTCCTGCTGGCTGACGTGCAGCTTAATGGAATATCATTCATTTCATCACAGTCATGCTGAATAATAAGACCCTTCCCAAATGTTCTCAAAAAGATGGAAACATTGAATTGTCCAAAGTAATTCAGCTGGTCTGGTCCAATACATGGATTCATAAACATATATTTATAAAGAGAAGAGAGAGTGCAAATTTGATGTCATTTTTGGACTCTGCAGCTCAGAATTACTCTGAAATTATTCAAATATATTTGGCACAGCACAGGTACAGACAAAAATAATGCTCTAAAAGAATTATTAATTAATTGTATTGTACATGGGTGTGTGTTATCCATGGGATTTTATGGTACTTGAGCATTGCGCACATAAATGAGGTCTTTACCAGTGTTTTGGTAAAAGTGGAAATCTGGGGCATGATATAAGAATAACAACTAGGACTTACTAATTGTATTATACATGGGTGTGTGTTATCCATGGGATTTTACGGCACTTGAGCATTGTGCACATAAATGAGGTCTTTACCAATGCTTTGGTGAAAGTGGAAATCTGGGGCATGATATAATAATAATAATAACAACTAATAGGAATAAATTGGAAACACTATGTAGTAATTCATACAAAATGTGTCATTATCATAAACAAGTCATGAGAAAACAGATTTATTTTTATTTATTTATTTTTTTTACTGAGTTTGATGGATAGTACTTGGTGTGCTAATATATGATCCTTACCCTAAAGAAATGTTCCCCCCTTGCTATGCGTAGTGCCAGGTAGAAATGACACTGAAATTGTACTAAAATAGGAGTAGGGCAATTTATCAAGATTATGCTGCGAGCACAGTAAAGATACTCTACAATGACCCAGAATTCTCCACACATCCCACTAACTCCCCAAGCCAGCTCCCATTTCAAAACATCTACTGTAAAACAGGCATGATCTCAGAGGGCCCAGAGGATCAACGTTCACAACCTCACATTTACTGCCATCTGCCGTAAATGGCCTCAACCAAACCTCAGAGGAGGTTGGTTTGCAAATATATTTTTCCATCCCTCAAACCCTCATACCTGCTCGGCCATAACATCATATTCGCCAACAAATTTCTCTTTCCCAGACATGTACAACTAATTTACATTCGCAAATGGGAATTCAAGTACAACATGAACTGCAGACGGTGACATTTTTTTTTCTTGCAATAACAGTCAAGACGCCCATTCGCTTCAGAGTTGATGCGACAATAGGATTGCAGAAATTTACGGGCTGTATTACTGAATGAAAAGTAGGAGTCAAAAATATCATCCTCAGCAAATGTTGCATGTATTTTCAATAAACGTGTAGATTCATGAGCTAAAAAAAAACATCCCAGCTAATTCAATTTTCATGAGTTGTGGCTATTTTAGGATTAATTTGCAATATGGAGGGTACTTTATCATGTCCAAAACGTGTCAACGCTTTGACAAAATGCCACTGCAAAATGCTCCCATTCCGGATAAAGAAGCTTTGGTGTCTTTCACGAAATCCTATGCAGGCGGATTGTTTTCAATGAGCCCACGGAATCAGATTGCAACAGATGGAACAATCAAAGCTCAAATGTTACCCCAGTTGGCTCTCATCCCTATCGCTGACACACGATCCAGTGAGGGATCAAAGATGGCTCAACAAGGTGAACTGTCAAGTTAGATGCCCTATTCATGTGAGCAAGGGCTTTAACAATGACTTAGCACAAGCCCACTTCCCATGTTTAAAACAGATACAAAAGAAACATGATAGAAGATATACTGTTTACGTATCAGCTAATGCCTCGGAACTGGAACGATTTGCATCGAAGAAGACATGTGTCATTAGACTTATTACACTTGGTAAACACTATTTAACAAACTCATTGACCAAACAGGGTTGGTGTTACACTGACTAGTTAACCCTGAATCTTATTTTATTGATTATTCATCTTACTAAGGAATATTGGACAACTGACTCACAAATGACATACAAGGAAGGGACATTACAGTTTGTTTTTATTATCTGGATTAGTTAGGACACGGTCTAAAAACTGGTGAGAGGTTACTCAGGTTCTCAATAGTTTTGATCATCCAGGGACAATAGGGGCCACACACAAGAGAATCTGCAACAACTCACACTTACTCACAGTAGATGCAAGACTTGCAAAAAGTGATCTCAAATCTGCTATCTTAAAAAGTAACTTTACCTGTTGAGATGATTGTGAATGAAAGAGTTTCTTATTTACGCAAATACTACAGCCTAACGCACCAAATTAAACAAATGACTAATTTATTGCCTTGAAACACTGCCTTGCATAATAATTTGGAACAGTTTTTTATTTTTGAAAACAATATCGTTATCATTGCATAATATTTTGGAATCCAAAGTGGATCAGACATATCCCGGATGTAATTACCCGCGATAAATTATACCTGAACGTGACTCAGGTTAAAATAAAATAGAAAGAGGACAAGGCCAAACATGATCATAAAGGACAGACTTTGAGCCTTAAGACTGTACAATAATTTGTCCTCTCAGACAAATGCCCCTTGTCATGATCTATGCACCATGATGTGTTTTACGGTATGGATCCAGCATAACATTAGCCAGATGGAGAGCATGGGGAATGTACTACTGCACTTATCCGAACTAGATGTTAAAGGGAGTAATGTTTTAGTGGCTGTGGAGAGAAGGAGGGCAGAAGGGAGGACGCAAGGGAGGCGGCGTGGTGAGGAGCCTCGCACTTGGTACAGCTCCCTCCTCAGCTGACATGCAGTATCACCTGTCAAAGTACTTAGATAATTGGATATGAGAGGGATCACAGGCTCGCCACTATAACCAAAGACACTGTCAGCAGTGTCATTTGGAAGCAGCATCTTCTTGGGCACATCGGACAGACACAGAGCAAAAGACTCAGGCAGATAAGCAAATGTATTTTCAGCCGAATGACCGGACAGAGAGGAAGCAAACCGCAAATCAACCTACATACAGATTTTTTTTTTTTTTCCATCTCACCCGAAGGAGAGGAGTGGTCTCTACTACTTGGGGGTCATGTAAAAGACTAAAAATAGCATTGCCTTCCTGGAAGAATGACAATAAGTTCCAACAGGACACAAAGAACATGAGTGTACCGAGTTCAAATGCAGCTTCTACTGGATAACCATGCACATTCCACAGGGTGAACTGCTGGTGTAAAGGTGTAATAGGCCTCCATGAATATGAAACAAAAAAACGTAATTTATCATCATTTTAGATTCATGGTGAAGTAACGGGGTGCCTCCACCAGTTGACCAAGGCTTAAAGGTCTCCCCATAAGTGGCACCTTAGTGTGTCATTTCTGTAGTTATTTTAATATTCCTGTCTTATTACACATGCACATAACCCACGCAGCCCCACCCAGGGTTCCACTTTTTGCCCTGAGGACATCTATAGAATAAATGCAGAATGTACTCATTCTGTTCAAATGATTCCTCATCTAATGGCTGACCTCACTGTTTGCCCTTACTAGCTGAGGCAAATGAAGCTTTTGCTCTAAGTGCAGTTCATCTGGGTTGCCTCCTGTTAAATGCAACCTGCACACAGCGATACCACTAAGCATATTGAAGCAAACTTGTGAACCACACAACTCACATTTATACTACCGGTAAAATTCTAGTCTTTTATAATTATACAATTGTATTTGGTCTTTAGTGAGGCTTCTACTAATGTTCGAAACTCCAGAGATTGGAGAAGGACAACATATAAAAACATGGGTGTAAATCTCAATGGGCTTTGCAGTTTCAGAGTGTTTACAGTCTTGGCTACACATGATAGCTTTTGCATTGCATTGCAACACAGGAGTACAAAGCAATGAATGCATACAGTGATCGTATTTACTGGCCTCTGGTAGCCAGACAGGCCATCTGTCCTCAAACGTGTATGTGTATGTCTGTTTGTGTGTGTGTGTCTGTTTGTGTGTGTGTGTGTGTGTGTGTGTGTGTGTGTGTGTGTGTGTGTGTGTGTGTGCTTTGTGTGTGTGTGTGTGTGTGTGTGTGTGTGTGTGTGTGTGTGTGTGTGTGTGTGTGTGTGTGTGTGTGTGTGCTTGTGTGTGTGGGTATATATTGTATACTGTCTGTATTTGCGACTCACATAGTTGGCTTGATAAGTGGGCTGCTTCCCAGGCGAAATGAAGGCAGGTGTTCTGTGACTGTCCCCTTTCGGAGAAGAAACTTTTCTGTGAGATCAAATCCTGCAAAAGAGGAATGTGGGGCAGGGTATATGTCAGTAGATTTTAATGTTGTCTTATTTACATTGCAGATTTTCTTATTCTGTACAGACCTGTGATTTCCAGTGTTTCATCGAAGCTGTCAGAAAACCTGAGCACTTCTACATTCAGTAGGGGACAGGAGTCACCTGAAGGAAGGCAAAACAAGACAATTATATGAGCGGGTATTTCGACTTGGACATGTTTGGATGATTTGAATCAAACTTTGAATTTTCATTCAAATAAACCTCATAAACGGGAACTGGTTTAATCAGGCAGTGGTGGCTTCTTACAATCTGGATAGAGAGGAGTGACGCATGGACGCAAAACTTCAGAATGTCGCGTGGATGATGTCACCAAAAGGTTCACATAAAAGCAGATAAAGTCGCTAGATAGTTTGCTAATCGCTTTTTACATTTTTTTTTTTTTTTTGTAACATAGTCGCCATAGGACTTTCTTTTAAACTTAGTATCACTGCAAGGTTGCCTAGTTGGCAGCACTGCTGTGTGAATTAAAGTCATTGGCAAAAACATCATTGCAAAGTAGATAATCAAGTATTGGTTGTGATGAATATTTGAATTAGGTTCCATCAAAATCTCATCCCACAAATCGAGTGTATTCATTCCATGTATTCATTGTGCAAGAAGAGGAGTGACACGAACAGATGGTTATGTGATGTGTCAATCAAATCATTCATTTGCATAAAATTTCTATTATTCATCGATGGACTTGTCACAATGGTCAAGTGGATCCCATATGTATTCACTTTTGGGTAATGACGCACCACCTCACTGAATATATTGTCCAGAGTGCAGAGACACAACAGTGGATATTAAGTTCTGCCTCCAGCACGAACCACACATATGATCGGAGATTTTTTTTTTTTTTTTATAATTGGCTTTCCTAAATGTCAATCATTAATGTTGGTATGGGAATTTGATTTTTGACTGACCATATATTACTAAAACGTTATCGTTTCAGAATAATTTGCATTGTGATGCAGCTATGAATCGATTATTTCTTCTGCCCAAAACCACATGTGTAGGGCAAACCGAGAAACCCATTCCATACGTTGTATACTACAAATAGAAAGAGATGACAAGGGGACAACACAGATAGAAATAAAGAGGACTGTACTATTCCTAAACTGAAAACAGGTGAGTGGGACCAAATGTTAGAAAATTAAACAAAACAAGGGAGTCAAACTAACAAACCGGTGATAAACAAAGCAGGAATTGCAAAAACAAATGAGCATTCCAGACAGATTTTACAGACAATTTATGGAATAGCTAAAAAGCTTGAAAATGAAATACTATTTGTACAAATATCTAAAATAAGCACCTGTGAAAGAGGAAGGCGAAAAGTGACCACAAAAGTTCTTACCTGTCCGTTCATTAACTGCCATTCCGAAAATGCAAGGAGTTAAGAGTACAATCCATAAAAAAGCCGTCCATCTTTGCAGGCAAGTCATGGCTCTGACACAATAAAGCTGTTTCCTTGAAAATCTGAATAGAGGCACAATATAGGATTACATTTTAAACCCACTCTGCTTGACTGCAACAATTTGCTATCACTCTGTGTTATTATCATTGAGTTTTTTTTTCAAAAAGCCTGCAACACTTTTACTGAACTCTATCAATTATCCTCAGAAGCATTCTGTTCATTTTAAAAGACAGTAATAAGCAGTATGATTGTTGATGTCACTTTAATATAACTTTCTGATTGTGCGCTTCATCAGTCCTATTTTCACATGCACTTTGGTGGCTTTATATGCCCTAAAAGCCTGCTGCTGCATCTTTATCCAGTCCAACACAATTTGATCATTTAGTTCTTTATGAAGTAAAACATATCTACTGCTTGGATTAGATGTACGAATCCTGTATACAATACAAGTATTATGTGATAACCACAATTTGTGCTCTAGCAATGCAGAAACCTATATACTATACAGCAAAGGGGACACATTATATAATGCAGAATGTACAGTCGGGCATTGTCTTTGTGTATGCTTAAATGATTGTCACTATTCTCTATACTGCAGTTGTATTATAAATTAGTATGCCACTCTATGAAGGTTGATTCTTGTCGTGTTTTAGTCCTGCTATGAAAGCACTCAACTTGGCCGTATGCGGAGCTTTAAATCACAAGTGTTTTGATCCGTGCGCTGTCAACAGTGTTGTGATGAAGAGCCTCACATGAAAGTGAAAGGAAGCGAACCGAGCAACTTTAACTCGTGAGCGTGCGCAGACGGCGGAACCATGTGGCACGATAGCATTGACATCGTTATGATGCCGCCGTGCAGACGGCAAATAGGCAACCTGCAATTATGTCAGCGTACTTCGTACCTAACGATATTTTGAGAAACTTTTTTTTTCTTCAAATTGCTGTTTCACTTCATATCAGCAATTCTGACAAAACATTAATGACCCAACACTAAAATGTTTCTAATGGAAGACGCCCCAAGATAATAATTTTCACTTTGGATTGATATTGTCACAGTGGTGTTCATCAAACAATTTTGATAATGAACAATTATTCGCTCTCCCAATCACACCTAGGGACAATTTAGACTGTTTCATTCACCTGCTTTGCATGCTTTTGGAATGTGGGAGGAAACCAGAGTGAGTACCTGGGAAACAACCCACACAGGCATAGGGAGAACATGCAACCTCCACACAGGTAGGGCGGAGCTGGAATTGAACCCTGCACCTCTGCACTGTGAGGCAAACATACTAGCCAGTCAGACACCGTGCCGCCCAGGACTTTTATTCAAGTAATATTATGCAGGGATACTTTAACTTCTGCTAAAGTGTTGGCCTGATTTTATTCAATGCGCCGAATGCCGTGGCAACATCTAAAAACTGTCCATTATTTATTATAAGGAATTGATTTTGCTGGATACCTTCATGGCGTACAGAGTATTAGTAACATCTTTTTGAAATATATTTGGTTTATTAAACAATGTTCATGCTGAGCAGCACACAGTGATGCACGTGACGAGCAAAAAAGGTTCTGGGTTTGAATCTTGCCCTTGTTGTGATCACAAATGTAAAATGTAACTGACTGGTGAACAGTCGTGGGTCCTGCATCGTCTGATCTCCTCTCGCCCAAAGTCAGCTGAGAAAGTTTCTAGCTCACCCGTAACCCTGAACTAGATCAGCAGGATAGAAATTGGATGGATGGATGGATGTTTGTGGTTCATATACAATCTTGTAAAAATGGATAAGATGTCTGGTAGGATACATCATGGTCCTCGACAATCACTCATTGCATGGGACATTTCTTGATACACCTTCCATTCTGGAGCTCGTGAGATTGCAATAGTGACATACTGACTTTGCAATTTTTTTTTTTTTTCCTGAAGAATAACAGCCTGCAGAACTTTCGTTGAGAAAAACTGCACTTCATTTTTTTGAGTAGACTTTGGAATTGGAGGGTCACAGTTCAAAATGAAAATCTCAACTATTGAGGCTGGAGACATGTTAGTCTGCTTTCAGACTACTGGCACTTAGGCAAATCCTCAACCTCACCACCCCTAGCTCAAGAGGTGCTGGACACTTCGTGCACACCTTTTACTCTGACATTATGCATGTCTGCATATGTGGAACTGGTTGACGGTGAGGTATGCAGCACAAATATACAGTAGAGTGTGAGTTGAATTTCACAATGAAGGATCCTTGAGTATATTTTAAAAATATTTGCATTGTATTTAGACTAAAAGCTGCCCTCTTTACAACTGTGAGAGAGGACAGGAGGATTAAACTTGATCCAAAGAGAACACATACACGGCCACACTGCAGCACTGCAGCCTGACAGCATGGAACTTTTGGCCCATTGGCATGATGGCGCTCAGAGATGAAGTGACAACTTCAAGTCAAGCATGGGACAAGTAGCACTACAGAGGTATCGCGTTCCTTGTTTGTGTGAAGGCATGATGTTATTCTCAACACACACAGCTCTTACTTGAAGAGCCCTGCACTTATGGATCATGTCTACATGACATACCCGATGCACCAATCCAATATTTTGGCACTAAATATTAGTTTTCATGCGCATATAATAAGAGGTGATTAAAGTATTTGAACGTTCATTGATTGAGTTCTAATCTTCCACTTTGGCTTTCTATAACTTAATGACAGCTCTCGATTTTATATTACCACCCACCATCCCAATCAAAAAACTGTTTTTGAGCGCGTTCGGTGATTGGCTGCCTGACTTAATTTCGGGGGGTACATAGCGGTTCATTTCATCAGGTTATCCGATGTTAATACCATTCAGCGGCAAACAAGTATTGTCATCCGGCACACTTCAAAATTGGCAAATGAACATTTTAGCGCAGCATGTCCGCTTAAGAATGGGGGGGGGGGGAAGGAAAAAAAGAGCTGCTCAGATGAGGTAAAGTGCTGAGGTTGAATGCGCAAATGTGGGCATGCATGCAAGTTTGTAACCGTTAATTCATAACTGTTAAGTACTTACAGTTGTAGGGAAAGTTTCCTCTAAGGCGGTAAGCAAGAAAAGGCAGCAAGCAGCGCATAATCCATGTGAGATAACGATCAGTCCGAGTGCGGGTTTGAGGACTTGGAAATAAGTCACACTCGGATCGCCTGCTGATAGAGCTCCTTATTAGTTACAACGAAGTGGCCCTCCCACAACACTCTGTCATTCCACGCAGGAGATCTAAAGCAAAACAAATACACGACACGAACAACAAACTCACAGCCAAGTGTATATTGTCGATTGCCAGCGTCACCATCTTTAAGATTTCTCAATTAATTAATTAAATGTAAGGATTTATGAGGATGGGAAGATAAGATACACCGTAGTGGAGTTGTATGTTGTTTTATTAATGTATTTATTATGCAGTTTATTATTGTGTTATAGAATGAATTTGGTGCTATATTATTTTTATTATTCATTTATCCATAGCTCCGTGGTCAAGGAGCTGTGAGTACCAGTCGCCTGACACTGCACTTATACAATCGCTGATTGATTAACCACCGTAGAAAAAAAGTAACTAAAAGGGCTAAATTGTTCGCCAGAAAGTTTTCGTAGCAGTGCTGTCAATCATACATCTCTACAATATTACGCACACCTCCGCCAAAGCCCAGTCCCCCCCCTCCCCCCCACCCCCTTACTCTTGACTACCCATTCTGCCAAAAATGAGATGAGTAATTTATTTATTTTTTTGGTCCTTTTGATGGCACACTACAGTCTGTGGATGAATAAAAGTTAAAGTTCCATTCCGATTTGGGTGGACAGGCACTTCCACTGAAATGACTCAAACGGTCAAAATAAATTCCTTAATTTCTTCATTGACTCTAAACTACTGGCAGAGACTTCAGAGAAAGACACACCATATCTTGAAGTAGAACTGTTTCTTCTGAAATTATCATCATCCAACCAACCAAATTGGTCCGATTGAGATCAAGAATCTTTTTTTAAAGAGAGACCTGTACAGTATACAGTAGATCCTACCTGATTATATAAACCCTTCAAACATAGCGGGTGCTTCCTGTCAAAAAATAAATAAATAAAAATTTGAATGTCTGAAATGAATGTGCAGCAACCAAAATTATTTTGAGTGCAAATCAGTGGATTTTTTTTTTTCAGTTATGCCGAGGTATCAGTACGGGTATTTAACATTCGAGTATACCTTCGCACTTACAGTAAGTACGTTTCAGAGTCTTCTCTGTACTTCTGCTTTGAAAACTGTACAGTGTGTCAGTACTTTTGCTATCTCTAATAAAAATCAAAACTACACCATACGCTGCTATATGAGTGTCTGCAATCATGAGAAAATATTCACGTAAATCATTGAGATAATGAATACGATCCATATAAATGTACACCAACGAATGCTTTAACACAATAATATACCATTCAATCTTTGCTACTTGCCTCCTTGTAACAACAACTTTGTAAGTTTCTATGAAGTGACTATAAAGACTTAACACGTTGCAAGGCGGCACTGTAACTTTAACGTTAACGTGTTTAAGATGTTGCTCTGCACTTGGTTGCCGACAAGTTCAGGGTGGATGTACATCGCCTTTCACTCAAAGTCAGCCGGGATAGGCTAGAGAGCATGTGACCCAATTGAGGATGAGCAGGAGTAATAAAAGATGGATGGGCGAATGTTTCAGGTGTGTTTGCAGTGAAGGCTTTTCAAAATGGTGCTGTCATTGTCTCCTTTCATTTCTTTCAGACCAATATCCCAGGCCCCATGCAGATCAATGTTTAGAGTGTTGATGTAAATGTTCCCTCCCTGTTTACCACATGCAGAGTTGTGAAAAGACATGGATTAAAAAGGTTTCCCACAATAACTCTGTAGGAGAATGCCTAATTAAGATTTTAAACAGAGCATGAAAATGTTCTGCATAAAAATCAAAGTAATTGCATGCTTCGTAACATTTATTTGACATTTTTCGCAAAGAGAAAACGTTTTTTTTCCCCCTGGCTAGCAATTTATCTAGTGCCAACTGACTTTTTAGGTTTGAAGGTGTTCATTAATTTGGAGAGAATTTCCACTTCTCACCGCGTTGTGATTTTTGGCATTAAACAATGTGATGTTGTCATCCAGGTGAAAATGACCTTTTGCTTTTGAAAACGCAGAAGATGTTAATAGTATCTGAAATTGGAAAGTTGCTATTTTCTAAGAGGAGAGCTGGTGTCACTATTCTGGTTGTTGTTTTTGTTGGGGTTTTTTTTTTTTTTTGTCTTTCGACAGTTCAGTGTTCATTGTGAATAGTTGATGCAAAGAATGAAAATATGGAAATTAACAGATTGTCATGGTTTATATTCTGTTCACATAACCTAAACTTTTGGAAATCACAATGGTTCAACAGAATGCAACATAGTACAGAATGACTTTGAACACAACATTAACCCTGACGCTGCTCTCAGAAGAGTGCATCAATGTTCTTGTATGCATCTGTAGATTATTCGTACTCCATATTGCCTTCATTTCTTCAGCAAACATTGTGTGTTTTGGCAATACAAAAAAACACACATTCAATGTTTGCCCTTAATACAAAAGCACTCCATTCAGACTCTAAACCATCCAAAGCACTTTTGTTGTAAGGCACCTGTCTTCATAATGTGTTGCCAATCTCTGTGCACACACAGCCATTGATGTGCATTTGCTGGGATGAAGAGTACGCGTGTAGACATCGAAGACAAAAAAGACACAATTATGCACCGATTTAGCCTGCAGCTTCAGTACAATAGAGTCTTTATGCAATATGACCATATAACTGAAATGAAAGAAAGAAATATATCAGCGGCAAACATTTCATGAATAGCTGTGAGAAACTTTAGAGGGAAAAAAAACCACCCATTCCCTGGTTTGAAGCAGGTGTGGAAAATGCAGTAGAAACATGATAGACTAGGAATGTAAAATACCTCTAAAACTGTAATAATAAGCATAGTTAGATTCTTGATTCTCCATCCATAATTTTGCAGTCTGGATTGCAGTACACTGAGCAAGATCCAGCCCCCTAACTGCTACATGGGTTTCCCTAGCTGTAATCTCAAAAATATTCTATACTCGATGAAAACTCAGTCAGGATACAGTAATGACGAATATGTGACTAACAGTATTGTGACAGCCCACTTAGAACACCAGTTCCTGTCTGTCTGTCTGTCTGTAATACAGTAATTAAGTAGGTTTTGCTCCGCTGCCAGCACCTTGGTATCTTCGTGCCCTTCATTAGATTGGGCACACTCCAGCCTTTGTCCGCATTGCGTATTTAGACACGCATTAAACACAATTTATCAAGTACAACTGAATGAGGGGGGGAAAAAAACGCAAAGGAAATTCAACTTCCCCTGTTAGACAGAGTAGGTGGTGCCGCATGAACAAGTTAATAATGCCAAGCATGTTACCTGATACGGGAGTGTTTCTGCATGTGTAATGTAAGCCTTGTTTCCAGCTGGCCTTAAGTTGACTCCCCACCAAGAATACACATACCATAATTATTTATTTCAATCATAATGTCTTGCACAAGCTGCAACGATTAAATGAATAACAGTGCAATGACGAAGCATTTGTAGTGGTGTCTAACATTTCCAAAAGCTTGGACACTTGCGTGTGAAATTTGAAGCTGACACTTAACATTCAGATTACAAGCAACCTCTTCTCTGAGTGTTCATCTATGTGTGCTCTGCGATTGGCTGGCAACCAGTTCAGGATGTCCCCCGCCTACTGACCGAAGACAGCCGGGATAGGCTCCAGCACGCCCCACGAGCCTTGTGAGGATAAGCGGATCAGAAAATGGATGGATGGGTGGATTTTCTCTGAGGGGGAAATTTGCAAATTTCCTTTCTGACCAGCCATACCAGATACTTTGTGTGGCAAGAACAAATTATGTTTTTTTTTTTGTTTGTTTGTTGTAAATGCCAACTTGTTCATTAAATTGTGTAAATGTTATTTACTCCTCTTAATTGATAAATTACCCAAGCACAATATGGAGAACTTTTTTTCCTTTCAGAAAATTGCAAATGTCTCTGTCATAGCGAAGTCTTTCTTTTGCTGAAGCAATTATTAAGTAACTATGAGGGCATTCAGAGAAAATTGCATTGAATTAGATTCTCATTGTAGAATTTCTGACGATAGTTCCATTGTTATTAGAAACACTTGGGGAGGATTTTAGTCTTGCTGCATTTGAGCAGTGAGCCACAATTACATAATACGGTAAAAAAAACATTGCCTCCTCAGACCCAATAAGTATTTATGTTTCTTCCAGTTTTTTCAGTGACTTCGATACCTTCCTAAGATTAGAATTGAGTTTTTCAAAATGACTTGTTCAATTTTCACATCATTATGTCCCTTGTGCACACAAAATGTTTGGATGTGCCGATCCTTCCATGTTCAATTACATTACATAACAAGAACATTGACTAGTACAAAATTAATAATTTCCATAATTATGAAGTGATACTGGTGGTTTTAAAAGATGGATTGAGTCTGGTGAATTCCCACGTCAGAAATGCATGTCCCTCCATTGTTTAATTACTGCTAATCCGTATTTTTCTCACATTGTTTCCATTTGTAGCCGTAAAAGTATTACGGCATTAGATTCGTGTCACAAGTTATGTCGAAGAACACGTGTCGTGCTGACGTCACCTTCTGCGCCATGACGTAGTTCAAACCACGTGGTTTTGTTATTGGAGGAAGTGAAAATGGCCGCTCAGTCTTTTCTCTCGGAGTCGGCTCTTGGTTGGTCTATTTTCACCTTTATACTTTTGGTGAGCACCTGTGAACTTGTTTCATTGTACCACAATTTATCAGAGTGAAAGAAACATTGCCTGACACCGTTTTGCGACCTCTTGTCTTGTCTCGTTCGTGTGTTTTCGAGCCATCATGGCTACCGTTTTCGAACAATACTCCTGTCGCTTGGATTTGATACAGTATAGTCAACGTTTGTCATCATTACCCAAGCAACAGTTGTTATTTTATGTAAGAAATCTACTAACTGTACGTTCATATTCAAGTAAGTAAGTAATGGAACGGTGGCCATTTGTTTAAACATTGCAACCAGAATCTTGCATATTGCGCATTTAGAAAAATGTAATCGTTGATCATAGTTAATATGCATATTGCATTTTATAAACACGTATGCACATCTCTACTGATACCGACTTCCATCTCCGTAAATATTAGAATAGTGGAGCAGATGTTTGGAATTTTTATGGACGTTCTGTCTGCCTTTTCCTTCCCATTGGCACTCATGGGCAAAATGTTTAACGTCATCAAATATCCAAAAACTACAGCCAATCGTCGCCAAAATGTATGTGCACATCTCTACTCCTACCCAGTTCAGTATCTAAGATGCGTGTCTCAAACAATCTCCCAATTTCGAATTTTATGACCATTAGGCCTTATTCATCTTGCGTTTAACGTCACTTAATGTTGGACATCTGCGAGTAATTTACACCAAAATTTATGTGGACATTTCAATTTATGCCACCTTCAGCCAAAGGCTGAATGATTTAATTGAAACCTTTCTGACAGATATTCAGATTTTTATTAAATTCACAATTTTCTTCTAATGACGCTGCAGTGCATTATTGACTATGTACACTCATGATTACAAACGTACCATCAAAACGTGAAAAGCTATTGCTCTAATAATGCAAGGAGGCTTTGTGATGGAGTCAGTCAGTGATATGTATTTGGTGTAAAGTTAACATTCAATGAGTGAAAATGCCATGGCTATTGTGCCTGTATTTGGTAATTTGAATGTTTAAAACCCACAAAGAGTTTCAGTACAAAAATAATGATATGAAAAATAAGTCTGAGATGGAGCAATACACTTTTTGAGTTGTTCAATATCGGTATTATTAAAAGAAAAAAGGAAACCTAAAACTTTTAGTTTATTTTGTGTCTTAGAAAAAGCAATTGGTTTCGATTCGGTGGAATGGTCCAGAGACTATAAATATATTCGTATATAGAACAACATATAACATACAAATTGATATGTATACAAGTCTGTAGTTTCCATATTCATTTTAGAAAAATCTGATGCTTTGCCAAAGTATCATATCGGAACTCGGTATCGGCAGATACTTAAAACCAAAGACTCGGATTTGGACTTGGCTGATAAGAAAGTATGATCGGAACATCCCTAATCATTTCTGAGGTTTAATTCGTCATATGTAGAGATGTCCATACTAACTTTGGTGACGATTGATCACATTTTTCTGACGTTAAACAACATTAAGTTTTGCTCTATAGTGAGCGTCGATCCAGAGGAAACGACTTAACCTCTATAAAAACCGAAAATATTGGAATTATCAATCTGATGTTTTCAGAGGTTGAAGTGGGCATGAGTAGAGCTGTGCATATAAATTTTGATGACGATTGATGGCAGTTTTATGACATTAAGTGATGTTAAGCGATTTTTTTTTTTTACACATACGTGAAGTGGTTTACACTGTCCCGTAGTGAGCACAGTGTGCTGAAGTGAATGCCTTTAAAGTAGCTCAGCAGGTTTAGTGCATAATTAGCCATGACTATTGGATTAGCCAGACACAGTATGGCTGTCAAAAAAGTTGCTGCACTTTCTTACAACACTACTAAGTGCCTTCTACTTCAACACCACCACAGATTGATCTGATTTGGATGCAAAGCTACATCATCACCTGAAAAAAATAACAAGCAAGAGGGCTTAAAGCTGCTTGTCTTTTAATTGATCCTGCCAATAAGTGGCAGCCCTTTATCTGAAGAGACGAGTGTTAGAAGTCTCCTTGCTTCCTACTGCATGTGTGCCTTGAATTTGACCTTGTCATTTGAGAATTTTTCCATTCCACCACCTTTTTTGTAGCAGTAGTGTTTTCAAATTGAACAACAAAACAGTGATAGCAACTACAACCAAACAAGATTGATCCTGCTTCCCCCAGTCAAAGTGTATTTTGTTTAACAGTGCTATTTTTTGGGTATCATTGGATTGGCAGCTGACCTTTATAAATTATTCAACATTAAAATGTTGAACAATACCATATTTTTCGAACCAAATTGCTCTAGCTTAATGCAAATGTATAATGTGAAATGCCATAGGTGCGTTGATGCAAATGAGCATGATTGTTTTGTGAATTCTGAACTTTCAAATAACTGCTAATTTAACACACGGAGCAGCCACACATGCAACTATAACATGCTCCATTAGCCACATGTGCATACAGTATTTATTCTTTTTGTGGGAGTGACAACTTTTATTGGTGATTGGTTGGGGACCATTTGTGCCCTTTCTTTTTCTTGCCCTAGGGTTGACACTTACGTTTTCCATCTTCAAGACCATAGAGAACTTGAATATTTTTGGGGAGTTGTGGGGTTATGAGGGGATTTTATTCTGTGTGGCCGGAAAAAAAATAATCTAAAGTTCAGTAATATTCATGGCTGTATTTGGTTGTCTTGGTGATGTTATAACAATGTCTTTTGGAGAATTTTCTTTTCTAAGTCTTGTTTTTCAAAAAGAAAAAAAAAATCTCTTTCTTCTGTTATGCTGCATGTCTTTCAGTGAGCACTGCAGCACAATATGCTGCAAATCAAAATTTGGACTTGCCTGTACTGTGTGTGTGTGTGTGTGTGTGTTTGTGTGTGCAAAAATGCTTAAGAGGATCCCCCCAAAATTCACAACATAGCAGCGCTGTAGGTAATCTGCGATATAGCACGGTCTCAAATATTATATTTTGTCATATGTTTAGGTTGGTTAGGGTGAGAGAGCACACTTGTCATCTATCCATCCATTTCCTGTAGCGTTGGTCTTTATTGGAGTCATGGATCAGCTGCAACCTATCCCAAATGAGAGGCAAAGTGCACTCTGGACTGGTCACCCACCAGTCAATCGCACTGATGAACAATTTATAGTCATGAATATGCATGCAGGATTTTGGGATGAGGGAGGAAGCTGGAGTACTCTGAGAAAACCCATGCAAGCCCGGCAGACATAAACATAAACTGAGACAGACAAAATATCCATATTTTCATTATGTTGCTCAAGATAGCATAATATTACAACTGAATTAATTATCAACGAGAAAGAAAACACCCAAACAATTCAAAAATTTTAAACCAGTGATCCAATCTTTTTTTTTTCAATAAAATGTTCCAGTCTCTGTCCCAAGTCTGCATAAATGAGAGGGTTGCATGAGGATGTGCAAGAACTGAAAAAAATATATATATGTCTTGAATGTTAATCTTATGTTCACGTGTTTGCATTATTAAATGTGACAAGTCACATCCATGTTGAATGCTGCATGAATTAATGTATATTTGATGTTGTTTTTAAGGTCATCCTTGCTTTTTGCTGGGTCTACATCCGCAAATTTCAAAGTCGCCAGGAGAGTGAAGTTGTTTCAACCATCACGGCAATATGCGCACTGGCTATTGCTCTAATAACTTCTGCACTTCTTCCCGTGGATATATTCCTTGTCTCCTTCATGAAGTACCCAAATGGCACTTATAAGGTTTGTATCTGTTATCCGCTCTGCTAATAGCCTCGCTAAATTGTATCAAAGAAATTGGATTTCCTCAGGCACCTTTTAAATAGTTTGTAATTTTCTTTCAGAACTAAGCAATATGGATTGTTTGTCTAGTCTTAAAGCTTAATACATTTCTTGGCTCATGAATTCTGTTACACTTGTGTTTGAAGACAGTGTTTGTTTGTTGCTTTGTGTGGGTTGGGAGAAAGTCATATTGTTAGGCTGTGTTTGCATTGATGGCACATCAAGCACTACGTTTTGTTTGGTGATGAAATTAAAATATTAAGTCCGCATTTTCAGTTGGGATTGGCCATTTTTTTTTAATGACGGGGAAAAAACAGCGCAACAATACTGAGAATCAAGCAGCGTTACAGAATCTGGGAAAATCACACGCACACAAAAAAATGACTGGATAACTGCATACATTGGATCAATGTGAGCCTGACATCGAAAATACGCCCATCAATTTGCGTGTATACAATTGCACGTATACTCAAATATCACGGCCATTGTGAGTAAAGCTAACAGTGAATTAAGTTTCATGTGTTTGATCAGATAGTTAGGTAGATCATAAAGAATATGCAAACCCCACACAGGAAGGCCAGAACTGGGATCGAACCCACGACCTCTGCACTGTGAGGTTGACGCGCTAACCACTGGCACACCAGGCCGTCCAGATCACAACGTCATTTTAATAAATATACATTTACTTGAAGAATAAATTTTCAGTCTTTTGAAACTTAGGTTACACCACCTGTTGTTACCTTAGTTCAGGATTTTTTTTTTTTTTTGTGTTACAAGTACAGTTCATGCTATTCTTCCTCACCATGGCAGCTTTTATCTTTTGTTTATCGGTAATAATAGTTTAGTCATTAGGCACTATAAGAGGATTGATTGTGTTGTAGGTTTGGTCTGTCATCACTCTTAGAAACAATGGTGGTGATTTACTAAAGATTTGCTTGGCAAAAAAATAGGTGCGAACATGATTGCTCTTGCAAACAGATGTGGATACTCATCTACTGACAGGGCGCGCCTCCCAGGATTGCATATGCTCTAAATTGATGTGCAGATCATTTTGTGCATTTTGGGAGGAGTATAAGCAAATTACAATCATTTAGCATGTGCAGTGTGATTAATCAAACCTAAGACATATTGTAATGGCTGATTTGGGGTCTTAAAACACCGTGTATGAAAGGGAGATGCAAAAACGGCACTTTCTGTGTAGCCATAATTATGGAGGAGGAATAGCAAAAGTGAGAGGGGACGGGTCGAACACATCTTTTCCGCTCGTGTAAACATTTTTGAAATGCCAGAAACACACATTATCGTGACATATCTTCTTTTCAGCAATGCAATTTTGGAGGTTTTGAATGATTTAAGGGCTTACTTGGAGCCAGTCGCCTACGACAAAACTCCTTTCAGCTATGTATTTCTTCACGTCATTTGTGGGTCATTTGTCTGGTGCTGCCTTGTCCCAGACAGTTTTTCAAGTGTCCTGTCCCAACTTTTAAATGCATGTGATGCAAAATGGGTATTAGTTAAAAAAGTTCAAACAAACAAAAACATGGCTTTTATGCGGTTGCTGGATTCAAAATGATCAGTCTTAACATTTCTGTAACGCATGAATATGCTTGTCTTCCATCAACACTTCCAATTCCATTACTTCGAGCTTCATATTGGGTTCTTCGATTCTCTCGCAAATGTTGCATGCATCAGCGCGACAACCTTCATCCCAAGATGCTATTTTTACTATGACATTTTCTATCACTTTTACACCTGTTGAGTTTAGCGCATATAATCTATTCGAGTGAACTTTCAATTAAGTGCCTGCCATTTGGCATCAGAGTAAAAGATTGCAATCTTAATAAATCATGCGCAGCTCACTGTCCAACAGAGCGCAGATTGTTTGCGCGAACAAGCAATTTGGTGCCTGTTATTTGGGAATTTAGTATCAAATCCAATGTTGACAAATTAATTTAACATTCATTCTTACGGATATGGCAATTGAGAACAGATTGTCATTTGCAAAGCAGACCTGTCGCATGTGTCACATTTAGCGATACACCACAATGAAAATTGTCCGAAACTGAAAATAGCATATGAGGAACACCAGGCCGAAAGCTGAAACACCAAAAGACATTACAAAATCTGGCTCCTCTTGTTGTCTTGTTGTCTGTTTGAGAGGGAAGAAATTTCATCTGTGCAGTACTGCACATTTGACAATAAAGTTGTACTTGACTTAATAACCGGGAAAAAAAAAACCAAAAACAAAAAACTTCCTCAGCTAGCTCATTTTCTGCCCTTTGCCAGTTTTGTCCTCGTGTAGGAATGTGTGGATACATTTCGAAGATTTATTACGAAAGACCAGCATTGTTAGACAGCTCTATTAAATATCGTTTTAATTCCACTCATGATGTATAACCATAGGTAAATCTCTGGATAACAAAAAAAAAAACATCTTAATTTTAAAACTACAATAAACATTTTAAAATTTGTACAGAAAAAGAAATCTGAATGAAATGCCTCCTTTTAGAAAATTTATATAATCTGCCAATGTAATGCCACAAATGCAGAAAAACAGGAAATAAGACTAAACAAGAAGGCTGGACATGTTTTTTAATAGTTGCCATGCATCTACAAAAAAATGTCAAAAATAAACACTGTTGAGTTGTTCAAATGCATAGTAAGGAACAAACAGCACTGTAATGAAGTATTTCTAGTTGATGCAAGAAATACGTTTTGGAACATCATGGCAGGTCAGAGAAATATCACAAGGGACTTGGAAAATTGTAAGCCCAAAAATGTGTCTGTAAGTCGAGCACTTAAAATATGAAAGAAGTATCGGAAACTATATAAGAAATATGAAGACATGGCTTTGAAAAATGGCCTTCCTCAGTTTATAGTTTTTGAAGGGGATTTCTCAACTGCAAATTTGGAAAATGTCGACCGAGTTGTATGCACTGTACTTAAGCTTGAGAGAAATTTTGAAGTTGAACACCTGTTCTACGTCACGTGTAAAGTGGCGAAACACGGAAAACAGCTGTTCCGTTGTCACTCAAGATGCTTGATCATGTGTTCATCAAGTGACCGTTCGGTCGCGGGTACGCACGTACCTACTAAGTGTCAGCTCTCTGGTTCCTTCCGAGAGATATACATGCTTTCACAACCGCCGGTGAGGCAGTCCACGGTGGCCAAGGCAGCCCTCTCGCCCTGGGTTCGTGGGCGACTGCCGCGGCAAGGACATTTTACGCTCATTTACTGACCACCCACTTCCATTCACTTCAGCGTCCTGTTGACACATGCGAGATGCATCATGGGTAGGCACGGTGGCTATCCCTGACCCGTTAGCAACCGAGATTTTGCATTAGCTAGCCCGCAGAGTGCTTCATCACAACAAAACAGTGGACTTTTTGGCCAAACAGTTTTGGTGCATCTCTAGGTTTTTTTTAAGTTGGGTTTACTTTAAATCAGATGTTTTTAATGATTGTCATACTGGTTTTTCCTCAACGTCTAGGAATGGGCTGTCAACAATGAGACAAGAGCCCAGATTGAAGATACTGTCCTGTATGGCTATTACGGTGAGTACTTTCCCTTATCCTTCCACTTTGCTATACTACATATGTGTGGCTAAAAATGTAGCCGTTTCTTATTAAATTTCAAATTAAGAGTGTTTTTCTGTCGTCACAATATTTTTTCCCACCGTGACTTGAGACTGTATATCCTTTATTTTGATTATAAGAGCTGTGGTCCATCATCCATTCATGCATAAATCTTATCTACCAGTAGTTTGACTCTGGGCCTCACACGTTTCTTTTCATTCCTACAATGTTGACCTCCTTATACCCCTAAAGATTGTGTGCATCGTCACCTCATCACCTCATCAAGCACAATTGCCAAGCCAAGGACCCGGTTTGTGACAAATGCAAACATAAAAACAGTGATTTTACTTGACACAACAGTTCATTCCAGCAATAGCTTTTAAACACCACTAGACAGAGGGTCGCTCTGCAGACACCGTTCTGTTGCCTCTACAATATACAGGATGAGTCAGGCGGCCCTCAAGGAGCACTTTTCCCTTTGTTTTAGTTTTATTATAACAGTTGTTAACTTACTGCCCCTCCACTTGCATGACATTTTGGAATGTTAAAATAACACTTGAAACATCATCTGTAAAGTTAAAAAAAGGCTTTATCATAGAAAAAGTTTGAACCTGGAATAAATTCACTTGGTTACGATCATTCACTTCCATTGTACTGTGCATAACATGTCCAGCATGAGGCTCCAAAAAATACCTGAAAGAACACAGCCCCCAAAAGAGCCCACAATGTTTATAATAAGACTATTTGTCCATGATTACAATAAGAGGGCCCGAATCCAGACTGTTTTCCTTATCACTCTCGAACATAAAACTGTAGTGGCGCTGAAATGTCTCCGTGATTGGCTTGCGTGTTTGGCTTTGAGTCTGCTGTCTCTGATGACAGCAAATTCAGCCATTCCAGAGACACTATCACACATTTTCCAACAGCTGCTAGCCTAAAGTGCCTCCAAGCAACACTGTTATGCACCGTCTGTTAAGAAATGACAAGCTGTCTCCTTGCTTCGACAGCTCAATCCAATGAACTACTTCCACTGGTTATATGACAATAAACTTTCAAAGCGGCTTTCAAAGACTGTTTTCAGTGCGTGTTAATTCAGCATTTAAGGGACTGTAATCAGTTCTCCGCCGGATAAAAAAAATAGATTTAATATCTGGTTTAGATGAAACGTACCCTCAAATATAAACTTTGTTTAGATCAGACACAAGACATGAATAATTCAGTTGGTGTCGTCACGAAGGATGTATTGCGTCAGTGTTTTCATTCAATTGTTGGACAAACTGTCTGTAAAGCAAGTTTATGGAGGAGCAGTTAAATTTGTCGTGCATCAAGGGATGCAATTTTCTGCTTTTAACACTTTGAAGTATTTGACCCTGAATCGCTGTGTGACAGTTAATTCGAAGACATTACGTCTAGTTTGGCTCACTGCTTCTTTCTATGTGCCATGCAACCCTGTCGATCCTAAACTGGATTCAGACTACATTGTTCATTTTCGATTATGTTTTCCTGCAATGTGGGTCATGACAGCGAAAAGAAAATCTGAAGGGACAGATTGGACCCCTGTCAGTGTGAGCCCGACATCATCCAAATATGCTCTTGAGGCTGTGTACAGGCCAACCCGTACAGCAGTCCAAACAACACACCCACGGTGAATGAAGTTAAGGATGAATTCAGTTTCTTGTTTTTACGTTTGACCGGATGATCAGAATACATGTGTGCTTATACATGAAGATGTTGCAATTTCGGCGCAAACATTTAATAATGTTTCAATGTGCCAGTGTGCTTCCAGCTTGGAAATATTAAACCATCGAGTCACTGTTATTGTGCCTTTTTTTCCAGTTTCGAGACATTTGCAATGATCCAGCCCATTTTGTGGCCTGTTGAGATTTACATTTATATTCTTTTGGCAATCCAATGTCTTTTATGGGGTGATCTACCTTCGTATCTCCTGCCAATGGCACCCATATTCGATAAGAGGACTTGCTGGCTGACACTGTGCAAATACAACATTTTTATGTCTGATTCAACTCATTGTTCAAACGTTTCACTTTTCTATTTACCAGTAGGTGGAGACCAAGCTCCACGTGTGTTGGATGCAGAGCTCAAACCTTTTCAAGTTCACTTTCTTTTTACACTGATACGTGGCAGCTCTATTGTTCTCTCTGAAAACTGAATACATGATTTAGTGTGTTAAAGAAGAAATGTCACCTGTCTAGTGTTCTTTTTACAATTACATTGTTAATCAAAATAACTCTGAACTCGTGTTTATGCTTCCTCTGGAGAAGATGCATTTTATTTTAATTATGCAATGGTTTCGCACAATGCGATTTGACAGGTATGACAGACTGTTTATGTGACTAATCTTTTCACAGAATACACATATGGAGAGGAAAAAAACTAAAAAAAAACAGAACAATGAAAGGAACACACATAGTTGAATCTGACAAAAGTATTAATTTGGTTCAACAGAAGTATTTGTTATCATTATTATATGAAGAAAAATCGTAAAACAGGCTTGGATAAAATTATGTAATCCTTAACTTAATATTTAGTTGCACAACTTTTTGAATCAAACGCTGCAATCGTGCGATTTTTGTAGCTTTGAAAGGTGCTCTCTCTGGATGCCATGTTTCAGCTCCTTCCACATATGTTCAATAGAATTTAGATCAGAGCTTGCAGAATAGTCCAATGTTTTGCTTTTAGCTATCCTTGGATGTTTTTAGCTCTGTGTTTTGGGTCATTATTCTGTTGCGAGATTCAGGACCGGCGACTGAGTCTAAGATTTCTGACACTTGGCAGCATGTTTTCCTCAAGACTACCATGACTGTCTGCATATTTCACTTTACCCTGCGCAGATTCAAGACACCCTTGCCAGTCCCAGAACGTAACAGAGACTCCTTCATATGTCACAGCGGGGACGTACTTTTCCTGATAGGTTTCATTTTTGCATCAGTGAACAGAGAGTGGATGTGCCTTTCCCAAAAGTTCCTTATGTATGTATGTATGTATGTATGTATGCATGTATGTATGTATGTATGTATGTATGTATGTATGTATGTAATAATTTTGTTGAACCGTAATTAAAAATCAATGTGATTTTCACTGGTTAATTTTCATAAATTTGCTATTATTGTTATTATCATTGCTATTACTTATCCTTCTTTTATTTTTATTTTTCATTTCCAAACAGGTACCGGAAACAAACATTTTTGTCCATGTGTGTGCATCATTTCAACATTTATGGATAAATACCATCTATGATACATGTCATAACCGCGACATCGGAAACCTTACAAAGTGAATGAATTACTTTTATCGAAAAAGCCACTAGGTTTCCAAACTCAAATAGCTTTTGTGATCTTTGATGAACCCCCGGCTTTGAGAGCAAGTCTAGTCATTCATTCTCGCCGCTTGGTCCGTTCATACATTTCCTTCGACAGTTTACTACTTCAAAGCAGTGGTGTAGAAAAACCTTAAGCAACAGGGCAAAATACCCCTGGGCCCTCTAAATAAATCATTGGATTTCTCTTTCCTTTTTAATGCCATTTGCAGGAGAGGATCCAGAGAAGATGCCATCCTCTTGGAAATGTGTATATGTGTGTGCGTATATACAGTGTGTATATATATATATATATAGAGAGAGAGAGAGAGAGAGAGAGAGAGAGAGAGAGAGAGAGCGAGAGAGAGAGAGAGAGAGAGAGGGAGCAAGAGTACGCTAGTCTGGGAGTGATGGGCGTTTTGTTGGGTTTTTTTTTTATTGGTCAATGTTGAAGAACAAATTGTGGCGTCTCTTAGGAGATGTCACGCGATGTGGAAAAACAAACAAAAAAATGCTGACATGCCAGACTTGCTGTGTCATGGGCATGAGGCGTAAGCTAAATATTAGCTGGCCATTTACATTTGTGTTTACCGACTGTTTTAGTTCCAGTTTGACTTATTGGCTCAATGTTTACATACTCAAACTTGAATTTAGGCAGCACAGGAAGGTCGAAGACGCGGTGCACACAATCATCTCTGTTCCGTGAATCCAAAGGTGTTGGATCATATTTGAATTGCATGCTCCTTTGCACTACATTATTTTAAGACACATATTGCACTGAACAGAAGAATGGGCATTTTTTTTTTTCAATTTTGATTTCTTGCAAGTTGTGTCCGCAACTTGCAAACGTAATGCTTGCACACACTTCCAGCCTAGTTATTCGAGGTGTGTATTGTTGGACAGTCTTTGTTCGTGTTTGGCGGCTTCCAGCACAGAGCGCAACACCGCCGACCGATCTTTGTCGCCCGCCGGGCCCCTGCTGAGCTACCGCACCTTGGCTCTGGTGGCGGGGAGGGGCTGCGCGCCACGTGCGCACATTTTCTCTTGGTCATTCTTTGTTTCTGCTTCTTCTAAATGAATCCGGGAGAACTGGTTGCATTCGATTCTTGGTTATCAATTCCCAACTCAATTAAGTACTGACATTGTGGTCAGGTTTTATACATTCTTTGAAACAATAGTGACTATTAATGTCCAAAGTGTCATCTACACTGAGTTTTCATCTCTCATTGAACATAGAAATGAGCGATGAGTGTTAAGACAGCAGAAATGGTTATTTTTCGGTTCTTTAATCATTCGGTCGATTAATCTGTTATCAGTATTTTATTCCGCCAAATATAGGAGAAAAAAAAAATCAGCGGGCTCTAATACACATTTCCCCACCTTATGATCAGCTGCCTCAGGGTTTCAGACAAACAATTTTTTGCTTGGTGCGCAGTGGTTTTAGAACAAATTTTGCTGTCACTTTTACGATAGCTTTGTACCAACTACTGTATAACCTGAAGAAGTATAGAGCCTCTGTCATGTGGTTTTGTCATACCATATGAGCAGTTTAAACTATATTCTCAGTTTGATGAGGCCCCTGAGACAGGTACTAATGGGCTGTTTAAACCCCTCCAGCCCTCGCTGATACAGTTTTATCCACAAGGTATCTCCCTGGTGTTAAGCAGAGAGGCAAGTTCTTGTCATACTGCCATACCTCTCAGCAAGCGCCTGAAAAGACAGATATTTTCATCAGTCTCTTGAGTCCTTTGTCAGGGAGCGTCTCAGAGAGAAATGTCCGCTGGCTTTGAATTCAAATATAATATATTTCACCTGCCAGCAAGGGACGAGAGTCTAGGTTCTAATACCCTTGTGGACGGCCATGGTAGGGTGAGGACAAGGGTCTAATGTTTCTCATTAAGCCTTCTACGGCTCTGCGAGGGATTCTGCAGCTATCAATGATATATTTGATGGCACACATTCGAGACTGTTTTCACACTGCATCCTCATTACGCACAGGCTTTTATGCTTACATATGTTATGTGTGACATCGACGAAAATGTGTCTTTTTCTTTTCATTCTCCGTGTGTAAAATGCAACACACCATGCAAAACATAGGGAACTTGTAACCGAGAACATTTAATTATATTGTCCTCTGCTCTGTCAAAAAGGGATAATAAATGTGCTAAACTTTTATTCCCAGCCATTTGTTCCGACCCTGTGGAAGATCTGCTTGGAGAGTAACAAATGATGTATGGTAATGCAGTGTGACCCGTTCTCTCAGTATGTTAATATTCATGGTGTTATGACTAATTTGACCCGTTGCCTTAACACACAAGCGTATGCCAGTGACTGCGTACTATAGCATCGCTTTCACTTATTGGCTCTTGACATCACCCTAAAACCATTTTATCTAGTTATAATGAGTGTAAATAGATACCGTCGTGGAGAAATAAGGATCTATTTATTGAAAATAAGTTTTAGATTTTAATAAAACTTGGTTTCATTGTTGATAGTGATGGGACAACACAAAATCTCAAATTTTAGGTCAATCGGAATAGCGCTTTGGGAGCTGCAGCCCACCAAATTTGGACATTTTCAGCAAAAAGGGGCGTGGCCACCTTCCTTTGAACCTTTATATCTCAGGAACTACTTGGTCAATCTCCACAAGTCAGGTAGTATTGGAGAGGGAATTCAACAAGGACTCATTTAGAATATTGATGCATATTTTTAGTACCTTGACCATTTGACCTTGAAATTTCACGCAACCTTAACATTTTTCATAAAATGTTCCCTCAAAAGCATTTTAAGAGAAGTTTAGTGTGGTCGGTCACTGAAGCCTTGCTGCTGAAATACTTTTTTTGTCATAGATGGGCAAGTTATTTTATTTACCATATGGGTGCTGTCATTTTCTTTCAATGGGGAATTGTAACAATAATTCTTACAAAATATTTTCACCATAAAATGTTGGTTGAATGTTCATTTGCATCAGTACTACAGCAGTCAATCTGTCAATGAAATGTCGTCCTTAATTTTGATAAAACATGGTTTATTGTTAGACATTTTTATTCAGATTTTGTTAAGGTTCTCTTTTTGTTTGAATAGTGATAAAAGCTATATTAAGGATGTCCCTAAAAAGTTAATGTCATGTTCAAGCACTTTCCATTATCTTTTGACATTTATATTTTAATGACCTGACTGAGATGAAAGAATGTATTAGTGTATGCTTGTGGAAACATAGAAAAGGTGAAATATATTCTCCACAAATAATTGCCGCATACTCACTAGTGCCTTAATCTGTCAAGGGAAATTTCACATCATTGCAAATGGATTTACCGAGTACATCTTATAACTTTTTCGAGCTTCCAAGAGGCGAGTCATATTTATTGATGATGAATTATCACCTGAGAAATACACTATTCCGGTAATACTAAAATACAAGTCACTATAATTTTTTTTTATTTTATTTTTTTGATTTACCAAGAAATTGAGTTTGTGTTTGAGCATTTTTGCTGTTTTTCGTGTCGACAATGGTCAGAGGGATGAATGAGACTAATTCTGGATCTTAATGTCTGTCCACAGCACTTTACTCCATCATCCTCGTGTGTGTGTTTCTATGGATTCCTTTCGTTTATTTTTACTACGAAGAAAGAGATGATGACAACGTCAACAGATGTTCGGTAAACTTTTCTTATGTCTTTGCAGTTCTGACTGACCATATTGTTAAGTTGTGTTCCTTATCGCTTGTGGGAGGATATTATGGAATGTCAACACGGATCTAAAGATTTCCTGATTTAAAAGAAAAAAAATGACATTTTGCCTTATAATGCGGGTCGTGAGGTAGAATAGAACAAGGAGAACAACAACGGTCTTTATGAGCAGTCATAAGCACAGTATTCGGATGAAATTACATGTTGAATTTATTTGCACTGAATTGAACGGCTCTGCTGCAGACTGACAAAGTGAATGTCTAGACATATACAAACAAGATACACCATGAAAAAACAGGAATCTACACAAATACACCCACACTAAGATAAGGTGCTAAAAAGCATCATATAAGACGCAGCAGTACCAACGTTTCCAGATCTATAACTGGTATTGTTTAGCACTTAACCTGCTGCTTGACATGTGTGCAGTCATGCCATTATTTGTCGGCAGATCAATTTGTACATCAAATTTCTGAGTACAGCCTGCATGGTATTGACACTTTTACCTGCAAACTGGTGTATTTGGGGTTATTGAGTCATAATTTCAAGCCATCATTGTTGGCTGTTTTACTTTTCTGTAGGCTGGTTTTACTCTGAATGAATTTTGCGTCTTTGATGTACAGTGTCCACGTTTGTTCGCAGCATGCACCCGGTGAGTGTGTCTGTATTTGTGTGCATGGACATGATTGACCAGTTTGTTTTTCTTTCACTGCAGCAAGTCAAAAACGCCATCAAGTACACAGTCGGATTTGCCATTGTCTGTGTGGTGCTGCTATTAATTGGGTAAGTGAGATGCATGGTGGCTTCTCTTGCTGCATTTTCACAAAGACCATTCCGCGAAACAAAAAGTGTTGTTTTTTTTTTTTTTTCCAACTCAATGAATCTGTAATATGCATTGTCAAGTGTATTTGTTCTGTAGGCCAGTAATTCCCAACCCTTATTGCGTCAACGCACATTATTTCCCATCGGAAAATAGTCACGGCACACCACTTAGCAAACGGTTTACAAAAAGTGGATACACAGATTAACGTTCTGTCATCTAGTGGAAGGGCATTCTGTTCTTCCCGTTACTCGAGGTGGTTACCAAGATAAATTAACAAAACATTTTCTTAATTGAAAATATGGATAACACGGCACAGCTGATGATCTCTCGCGGCACACTAATGTGCAATTTATCTAAATGTTTGCTTCATGGATTGAAACAGTTGGTGTTTTGCTCTGACAAGAGTTCCAGTCTTTCTCTTTTTAATAACATGTTAGCTTTCACCCTGAATTGCCGTTTCAGCCACCAAGAAAAAACAACCTTTTGTTGGGAGAGAGTACACACAGCAGTCTCTTGTTTGATGTTACAAGGCTTTGTTTATCTTTAAATGGTTTCTGACCTTTTACTGCCACATGTAGACAATTGTGATCAAAACCTTTCAGCTCTGCAAGGGGCAGTCTTTTGTCTGTATAGATTATGTGGGAACTCTGGGCAAAGCTTTTTTGGGGGAGCGGGGGGGCGGGGGGATAGGAATGCACTGGATGGATGCTATAAAACACCTGACTGAAATACAGTTTGAGTGGTAAAGCCTGGTCTTTTACCTGTAATGTAAGTGTATGCAAAATGCCTAATATCATTCTTATGGCACCTGCAATGCATTCAGCAACGGCGTGTGTCCCCGCGTTGTGTGCTGTATGCTATATCTGTAAACAAGTAGGCCTTGACTCTTTCTCTGGCGCAATATGATTCTTGCTCAACTGTTTTTAAAACACATTTTTCCAACATATGCAACCAAACCCAAACGATCGCAAATCTTTGTTGTTTTTCAGAGCATTTGTGCCACTCGAGGCTCCACCACAGCAGAATGCCACGCAGTGGGAGAAAGTTCAATACCTTTTTGAGGAGCTTGGAAGTGGTCGTAAGTACTGTTCTTCTATAGACTGACTACTTTATTGAACAGACTTTGTAGTGTACTGCTGTTGGTTACAGAACATGTGTTGCTGTGTGTTTTAACGAATTGCTCATGTTAACTTTTATTTCACATGTTTGCATACTTGTCTTAATGTCGCGACAGGAATTTAAAAAAAAGTCGAAAATGTAATTCAAAAAAAGCCCACAGCTGATTTGTAATAGTGGAACAACATCAATGAAGCAATCATAATGATTTTTGCCCTGTATAAATGCATTTCGCAAGAGCTGCATTGCCATGTGGTTGTCCGATCAAAGGTCACTTCGCATCGTTTCCTTGTAAAATTAAATTTTAAGAATAAGAATGAAGTGATCGAAATAGTCTCCGCAGGAATCCGTGATTCCGCCATGGCAGAGTTTGCCGCGGATTTCAAAGCACTCCACGGAATTGAAAGCTGTCTGAAAATGACGGCGAGGTGTCGAAGATTATATTTGCATGTAGTTTTCACTGCGGCAGTTAGATGTCGCGGTCAGACAGGCTCCGTTCACACTGCCCAATTTTATTATTTTTATTGTTATTAAAGAAATCTGCCCTAGAGCGAAAAAGAGATGTTGATTGATTTCCAACCACAATGTTCCTCAGTCTTTTGGTTTGGCAGATAATTTCCTAGAAGAACTTCATTAGTACATTAATATGCTTTATAACTGGTCCTTTTGGGTCGTGTTTTTAATACCTGCGGAAAATCAACTTTCAAGCCATGGAATCGAGATTTGCTCGATGGAGACTGAGGATTGTTCTCCGCTGAATCAGCACTTTTTCTCTGCAGATTCTTGGGGTGGCTTCCGAAATGAAAATATCCCAAATAAAATGTTGCATTAAAAATGTTAATCACAAAACAGTGACTGCGACGTCCACAGGTGTCTTACTTGTTGAACTGAACATCGCCTTATATGCTTCTATATACATTCTAATTGGCGGAAAATACCAAATGTGAGCTCCTAGGAGTCCTCTGGACCTCTGCCATATGCAGATCAAGAAGGAAGTTGAACCATCTGCCTCTTTTTACTCTAGTGGACCCCTACGCTATGCTTCCTAATCTTCCTCCCTTGGCACAGGGGGAAATTTCCAGACTGCCTTGGTGGAAATGTGAGGATCATCCTTGTTATAATTCGCCCCTCTCTCTACTCCCTCCAGATGGGAGGTTAATTGTGTTATGGGAAGCAATGTTTGGCACATTATGCTGCTGACTGTGTCGCTATGGCTGGTCACTAAGGTCACTGGATCGAAATTATTTAAATATTATGTTCATGACAATGTCCTCATTATACCCTTATGCTTCAAAGCCCTTCATCTATACACAGTAATGGTGAATCCCGTGTGTGTGTGTGTGTGTTAGGAACTAGGTGAGTGCAATTGAGGAAAATGTTATTACTCATCCCAAATGTATGGTATACTGTTGGTGCTTCCTATAAGTATATTAAGGTGAATGCAATCAAATAAAAATCATTTTGATCAATACTTAATTCTAATCAGAGGATTTAGAAAAATATGAATTGATACCACATTTTAAAGACCAACATTTTTTTTGAGCTTTAATTATATTTTATACCGAGAATTTGGTTGATTATTTGGAAATCATGGTTGATTAATTGTGTCACAATTGAAAGAATTTGACGCTCGAGGCTATAACCAGAAGTGGTGGGATTTATTCATTTGAAACAAGTTTGTCATCGAAAGAGCAACAAAAAGCCAGCTATGTCAAATTTTGTTCCATTCACAAATACCGCTCGCTGCCAGAAAGCCTTCCAACATTCCAAGTGAGAGGATCTCGTATTCTATCCCAACTTATTTTGGAAAAAGAAAATGCATTGACGGTTCTTTAGATTTCCCACGTTTAACCAAGCAAAGGTACTATAAAACCCATTTCTAATTATTTGAAATAATTCGACAATTCATGTCTCCTTTTTCACAATGTCCCCCGCCTTCCCTCCAAGAGATGATGACAGATGCTATAAACAGCACACATTATCCAGGCCCTGAATATTGACTTCAGGGCCTGAAGTATTCCCTAATGGAACACGCCACCACCCCCATCAAGGAGAATGTGAAGTAGTAGAGAGCCGCCCATGCTGACAGGCGCTCTCTGCGCTGTGAAGTTGCTTCTGAGAGGATGAGGGCTATCTGTACAATGACAACTGTGTAGCATTTTACACACAAGCCTATGACAGGTGGCATCCTGACAGGGGAGAGAGGCTATCAGTCTGTTCATCAATCCCCCTCTTCTAACTCCAGCTTTGACAGCTGCTGTGACACCTACTGTTGCCCTTGCCTGATGGGTGGTCCCCTTAATGCTTCAATCAAAGGTGGCACTCCTCAACTCCATTTACTTACATTCCCGGATCAAGCTTTATTTTTTTTTTCTAAATTTTTTTTAAACGCCAGTTCTTAGCCGTCTCATTGATGAAAGCGAAGGCTGAGACTTGGTGTTTCCTCACAAACAATTTCACAGCGGCATCATCTTGAAAAGAACACAGCAACAGTAAATAGCTGACGTTTCTTGTCATTCTCACCTGTTTTTTTTATCATTTCTTTTGAAAATAATACGGAACATTGAAATAGCGTTAACAAACACGTACAGCCAGTAGCAAAGCCTTGCATTTAAACACTTTTCTTTTGTAGCCTGGAAAATGTAGTTAACATTCTTCACTTTCTTCCTTCTCTCTTTGTCTCTTAAGTGTGGGTGTATTTCTGACAGATTCAACAATATGGTGCTCTTTATGCTATGTGCGAGGCATGGCTTATCACTGTAGCGCAACTGCTCTGTACAGACACTTGAAGCAAACACGTCCTGGGGCGTTTTGGTTTTTTTTTTTTTTTTTCCTTTTCGTGCTTGTGCAACTCAGCGAGATGTCAACCTGTTTACTTTTTATTCCCACCCAATGCTTTAGCTATTGTTTATTTAGCCATTATTATTATTATGGGTCCTAGTCAGAAGTGATTTAAACGAACAATTCATTTTAACTGCGCCAAGCCAAACAGTTTGACGTGTATGCGGAATCCGCTTCAGTGTGGGAACTGTGTAGGAAGCGCGTAACATCTTGAAACTGTTTACAGAGCATTCGGTAACAAATCAAATTTAAAAAAAAACGGTTCTTCAACGGCAGAAGAATGTTCTCCGTTTGTTCGTAAACTGTTGTTTCTCAAAGACGTTTTTACAGGATTGCATTCATGGGAGTTCCTCTAAAATGATAAGGTCCTATTGTTTTCAAAAAGTCTGTCTTTCAAAAAGCTGTCTTTCCGCTTGCAGATGGCCTTCCTGCTCTGGCTTTCTCCATCAGCTCCTTGACCTTGATTGGGATGCTGGCAGTGATCACTTACACAGTGAGTTGAGAGTGCCATGTTTTGTCATGACGCTTTATTTGTTACTTTTGCATGTACTTTGTGTTATGCTTGCATTTCATTGGAATTGTTTTTCTCACCTTTCCACATTGATATCGTCTGAATAACAGTCTTGTTGCTGTAAAGGACATCTAGGAGTCACACTGGTGTCTCTGCATCTTGTTGTATTTGACAAATCCCCACCAAGTTATTGATTTATTATTATTATTTTTAAACCAACTGTTACTTTTATTTATGCATCCTTTGTTGTGGCCATTAATATGTTTTTATTTTATTTTAACCATTCTGACATTTTCTTTTTTTTTTTCCTGCCAGAGAAACAACTTTGCCACGGCTATTGTTAATCCTATCCATTTCTTGTAGTTATCATGATGAATATTCTGTGGAGGTTGTGGGACAGCTCTCAGTTTGGGAATAACATAACAGCGCTGGGGAAAAACCAGAATACGAGGAAAATACTTGGGCATCACCCCGAGCAGTGAAAGTAAAAGTGACAGCCAACCTCAATCTATCCAATTTCTGTTGAGCCCAGAGTCCCATTTGACAAATTACACAACAATTGAATCTGGAGCTCCTACTGAATAATACACAACCTACTAAGTTGTAGAACCAATCTTCCTTTGGCATCACTAATGTAGCTTAACTGGGGGTTTTACCCACTGTTCTCACACTTTTCAGTAGACTGGCTTAATGATCAAGTACATTTTGAGGCTAGAGTCTCTATTGTAATTGACTTTTGCAATCACATGCTGTAAAAGGGATTTTTTTTCAAATCTGCACGGTTTATGGCCACGGTATCTTCAGTCTCAAACGTGAGTGGAAATACATCCTTCATCGTGTTTATATTAGAATATTGTACCTGACAACCAAGCCATGGTACTATCTAACGTACTGCAACCTATTTAATCATGACATTGAGATGCTGCCTTCATTGTCTTTAGTTTGACTGTTCCTATTCCCGCTAAATACAATTACAACACAGATTAATGCGTTAATGACAGAGATTGCAAACAAAGCCCTTATAGTGTGAAGCTATGGATTCACCATCACGTAGCAAAGTTATCTGCACAGTTTTTTTCCTGAACATCCATCCATACTAGCATATGAAATTCCTCAGTGACTTCATTAAATTTTTTTTTATCGGAGATAGATGTATGGGTCAAATGGCTCACCTGTGTGATGACCTTCCTCTTGCTCAGTAATTTGTGGTCTACATATGCAAATGCCTAACCTTAAATTGAGAAGATGAAGCCCTGCTGATCTAATAGACTGTGACATTGATCTGGATGTAGTAGGTGAGGTTATATAATGAGTAAGACCAATGTTCTATTTTTTTTTCCCCTCCTACACATCAGAATCCACTCAGCCTTATTTCATTCACAATGTTGATTTGGAATAGCTTTTCAATTTCTCTGCCCCATCCCGTTTCCCTTTTAAATGCATTGAATTTAACGTTTAAAAAAATACTCATATTACAAAACAAAATGTTAGAAACTATTGTGGCAATCTTCCTATATGATAAAGCATGTAGGTACACTATTATTTAAAGATTTATTAAAAAAAAAGGGTTCTGAGTTTAAAAAAGACACTTTAAAGTGTGCTTTTGGTGGAACCAGTTGTCGAAGTCGTCTAGTTTTACTGAAGCAATTACATGACATTTAGGGAAATAGTTTTAAGCTTCTTGTCAAAAGCTTACAGACTTCAGCTGCCGCTATTCAGTAGGTGTCAGGTAAGACGCTCCAATGTTAATTATATAAGTGTCAGGGAAGAGGCTTAATTATTTTGCTGCCGATCGACTGCCACGCTCACGCGAAATAAGTCTGCTCATTTGTTCTGCTTTGCGGTCCTCAAAAGGAGATTAGCAAAAAGTTTCTCAAGATTTTTTTCAAAGATAACAGAAACACAGCAGCAGACTTGTAAGCGTATTTACACAGTTGTTCTTATGGCAGTCCGTCAACTTCCCTTTCCCTTTCGTAAATGAGCCAAATATTTCTAGGTTTTGATAAACATGCTTGGATAGCAAGAAAAGATAAATTATCTGTATAACTAAATCCTGACTCATTCAACATGTATATTTACTGTGCGGTAAATGCTTTATGTGCAACATCCACCAGACTATTTACTGTCGAGCTTTATTTATTGAAATGCCATTTGCTTGGTTAGTTCAAATCACTGTAAAGCACCCGTATCCTGTTCAGTTTTAATGAGCGTGCTTGTACTTGATTGGCTTCTTTATCAAAGGATACTAAGAATGTAGGGGGCTTCTTGCTTTTTGGCCATACTAGTATCAGCGGATAAACAAAGGGGATGCTTGTGCAGGACGGCTGTGTCTACCTAGTTCCTCCTCTTCCAACTCAACAGTCACTCTCAATGATTTCAGCCAGTTACTTATCCAGAGTCCAAACCCCCCCACATACACACTCCCCAACATGCTCGAAGCTATTTCAGGTTTAAAATAACTAATAAGCAGTCACGATTACATGTGAAGTACACATGTAGACTCCAGCAGAGGGCCGACCTTTTTTCTCTTTTATATTTCTCTCGTGTTGTTGCACATGAGGGGAGGGGAAATGTTTCTCCGGGGATCTTGGACAGGTTTTCCTTTTATGAGAGTATTTGATATTCTGGACATGCTCCGGCCTTAAGAGCTCCATGATTCATTGCAGGAGGCGACATTCGCCCGTAGCGCAGATCCACAGTCGAGACTAATAATAGGCTAGCCTTTCTTAGTATCCCATGCGACACTTAGAACGCTTCATAACATGCAGAAACTATTAAAAGTTGTTTTAAAAATACAACTTGACTTTTGGAAAGTAGTGGAAAGAGGGCGGCATGTTTGTCAGGGCTGAAAGATTCGTAGCACAGACCATGTCCTTTTGTTTTATTATGAGCCCATAAATGAGACTCTCTGCTAGGTTTGTAAAAGCGAGACATGACAGGGTGAGTAAGAGCGCATTGACTTGCCTCTGTTATATTCATCTGTATTGATCGCTGCGTTGTCAGGTTTTAGAGGTGCCCCTCATTTTAAATTAAAGTTCAAACATCCCTCCAGGAGATTAAAGCCCAAATGTCAAAGATTTAAAAGCACCTTTTGAATTTTGTGCAATTTTGCGTCTTGATGTAGAGCCTTTTTCGTACTTGTCTCTTTCTATTTGTTTACGTGTTTGTTTCTGTGGGCAAACTGCAATCCTGCATGACTTAAACTAATGAGGTATATAAAATTCCACTTCATGTCATTCATCATTCATAGTACCTTGATACCCCTCCTGTAACCTAAATTTCTCCCCCTAAAACTCTCTTGAAAAAAAAAATGCATCACATTCTGGATGGAGGCGAGACTGCTGTCACATGGGGGCACTGTTAAGCTGTACAATTGCGGCATGGTGTTTTAAAGAGCACTACCCTTACAAAATGGTTGCAGCAAATGCAGCAGTTAGTTCTGACAACTTTGAATTCTTCCATTTTAATTTTCCTCAACCAAAAATTACAAAGCCCCTCAGGCCAGGAGGTCAGCAAATGATTCTACTTTCCTCACTGTGTTCATGTTGGCTTACCTTCATCTAATGCACCACACTGTTTTTTTTTTTGTTTTGTTTTTTTTTTGCAGGAGGGTGGGCATGTGTAGGTGGATGCATGCGCCATATGCAACAACCCAGCATGACAATGTGTGATTAATATGGAAGCTTTGGTTTGTTCATTTTATTTCCTTTTCTTCTCCAGGCATACGGTATGTCTGTACTGCCTTTGAATCTCATAAAAGGCACACGGAGTGTGGCGTATGAACGCCTGGAAAACACAGAGGACATTGATGATGTCGAGCATCAGATCGAGAAGCTGAGATCCAAGGTGTGACACAAGCATGCATTGCTGATCACGATCAATATATTTAGTTCATGATACAAAGTAAAAAGTATGATTGAGATTATCCGACAGGTGTTGGTTGAAAACCACTAACTTGAACCGAGGGCGCCTTGGCTGTGGCTCTCATTCTAGTGAATGGGACGCAGCAAGCGGTACCGTGCTAGCGAAAAATTTTACCCTAAATTTCAATTTAAATAATAACTATTGTTTTTAAAATGGAGTAGACACAACCTATCATTTTTTTCAACTGTCACAGCATGAAGTTTGGGTGCAGTCTTGAGCCCTGGTTCAAATAAACCACTCTGGGAAAACTAAAACCGTGTTCATAAATATCTCACTTCTTGTTACTTCTGAAGTCGCGAGCAGCTGCGCCATAATAACTCCTACGTCATGCAGCAAAGGCTTAGACTCCTAAGAGTGACAGTATTCAGAGCAACATTAGTGTATTTGAGGTGACTTTTAATATCGATGTAATTTTGCTGATATCCGAATGAAACAAGTCACGCTATTGTTTTCCCCCATCGTCGGTCCAATAATTAACCGTCTGATAGTTATCATGCATCCCTTCTTTTGGGCCATAATTCCAAATTGTAGCTTGACACAAAAACAGCACTGTTCACCAAAAAGAGCAACATGCCGACAGTGAAGCATGGCGGCAGCATCATGCTTTGGAGCTGTTTTCCTTGAGCTGGAACTGGGACTTCAGTCAAAGTGGTGGGGAGTTTAAATAGCTCCAAATACCAGTCAATGTGAGAATAAAACAGGTTTCAGCTGGAATGCAAAAAAAAAAAAAGAAAAAGGTTAGGGAAAAGCACACTTGAAATGCAAAATTTTATTTGAGGTTGAGCAGAGGCCCTTAAAAGCCAGGTGTGTACTGTTGTCCATTTAATTCGAGTTTGAACAGTATTGGTTAATTCTCAATGCACAAAAAGTCATTTAAAGAGAGTTTAAAAAAACATTTTAAATCCACAATTCTTGCGTACCATAAAATCCTGTGCAGAATACACAGTTTCCCCTGCAAAAAAATGACACTTTTTTTCACCTTGTTTAGGTGTCAATAAAATGTTAAAGTCAGTTCAATGAAGATGTTCAAGATTAAATATATGCACAACTTCCTGGCACTCTTTTCAAAACAGGAAAGGTGCAAGTGGAGGAACTTGATCAAAACTAAAAAAAAGAGGACAAATTTCAACCATCATGCTTTATAGTATATTGTGAGACTGTAATGGGAGCGTTAAAAACTTGGACAAATTTAACCAGATAATAATAATGCATACCACCAAGTCAGGGTACGGTATTATACACAGGTACAGAGAAAACAATTTTATTGACTGACGTCTTAGTAATCACAATCTTTGAAATGAAATTTGTCTTGGGTTCAGTGTCAAGATGGACGCCCGTTGTCATCACGGGACAGACGCAATCTGCAGGAACTCGAAGGAAAGTTGCAGGTCCTACAACGGAGAGGGAGGCACCTGGAAATTGCAGAGAGGACCTGCTGCAACAAGATGGGTGGTGCTCTCAGACCTTTCAAGGTAAGGCGGATTTTTAGAATAGATCACCAGTATAAAATTCACAATCTGTCCCCATGAGAACTGTTTGGTAATTAAAAAATAAATGATTGATTGGGATTGCTGATTTCCTCTCAGAACAGTTGGTTTCTAATATTTTGTTTTGCTCCAGCATACCCGATATAAATCTGACAATGTCAGCATTTTCCCTATACTCCAAAGTGGACTGCCCTTTTAGCTCTGCTGTATTTGTCTTTGAGAAAATTTCCCATTTTTCAGGTAACGTCTTTTGGTCCCCTGGTTTCTTTATTTACATTCTCCCATGTTTATCCATTATGCAAATAGCACAACTAATCTAACTCAAACTGACCCTGGTGTATTAAAATACCACAATGCCACTCGAGAAGTGCAACTACCTATGAGATGCCCTAAAACTGATCCATACAAATTGCTGATACTATCCATCATGTCACATCTGCTGCAGACTATATGATGGACAACATATTTAAGAGACCTCATACCAATAGCTGTGGAGTAGAACTCAAGAAGGTGTGTCTTACATCTGCAGCTTGTAACCTAGATAACTGCCAAATACCGTATTTTCTGCACTATAAGGCACTTCGGATAATAAGACGCACCTTCAATGAATGGCCTATTTTAAAACTGGTTTCATATATTGGGCACAATGCAATATAAGGCACATAGAATAGAGGTTACAAGAGTGGCTGGACATGAAACATTTAAATACAAATGGCATTACAAAACAATAAATGAAAGACAAAAGTTAGGAAGACAATTGATTCAACAAAAAGGCACACAAACATTGTGGGCTCACTTCCACAATGGGCTAAATATCCTTAGAAGGCTTGCTTGTCTCCTTCTTCCATCGTTTAGTCAGCAGTTAACAATGCTTTTGGTATTCTCTTCGTTTCATAATGGCTGCGTAGGGCTCACAAAGTCGTTTTCTGTCTGAGTGTGTGTTGGGGAATGCATGTGTCAATTATTTTCGGGCAGAACCCTTTTAGCTAATAATCACCACTAGATGGCATCGGAACACTAACAGGGAAACAATTCAGTGGCGGATATAAAGAGACTATAACACCATATATAAGGCATGTCGGATTATAGGGCGCACTGTCAGCTTTTGGGAAAATTGAATGCTTAGGTGCGCCTTATAGTGCGGAAAATACGGTAGTTATTCACTCAACTCAACTCAAATGTATTTATAAAGCACTTTCAAACAGCCATCGCTGCACACACTCACACCTGATGCGCCTGCTGCGCAACCAACACTAAAACAAAGTGGTAAAAAGCCTGTGCATTTGCGCACTGCAAGACACTCGGACCCTCTTCACCCTTGTTAAAAGGTCATAGTAATATATACTGTCATCATTGCCTTATCTGTACAGGTTGAATCAAACCATCATGTCAGCGACAAAACAAAAAAATAACTTCCATTCATCCATTTCCAATTAATAATGAATATTTGTTTTTAGTTTGAATTTTTTTTCTCTCCCGCTTACAATTTTTGAAGCGCTCTCCTACTGAGTCGTGACCAGCTGGCCATTTGGCAGTCAGACACCAAAGATAAGCTTGTTTTGTTTTGATTACAATGGACCCACACTTCATTAAATTAAGTATTGTGTAAATCGAACTCTATACGTTGACGTAACTGTTGCCCAATCATTTCATATTCCTGTCAGGCACAATATTTTTTCAATATGAAATGTCCCTCAAGCATTTCATAAGCTTTATTGCTTTTTTGGCTGCCGTTAAACTGCCAAGCTTGAAGCTCGATGCTCATGTCTGGGCTGCACCACTGCGTCCCTTTGTCACCTTTGGCATCATTTTCAAACTGGAGAGCCAAGCCATATGGTCCTGCCTACACATAAGACATGATCGATTTATATGGGCCAGTCGATGCTTTTCAAAGCAATAGAATTGGCTGAGTATGTTAAATTTGTGTTGTTGTTATCACCCTCTCGTATTTCAACACATTATATATGTATGTATCTATCTTTCTGTGCAGATTATACTGGGCATTTTCTTTATCCTGGTGGCTCTGCTGTTCTCTGTTGCACTGTTCATTTCAAAGTAAGTCATTTTAAAAAAAGATAAATGTTTGTGTATATCAATGTGACGTGAATGTGTCTTCACCTCAAAAGGACCCTTAAAAATGTACAAGTTTTGCATTTCATGGTGCACAAAACAGTAGTTGCTCATTGTCTTTTTTTTTCGGTCTTTCAGTCTGGATAAAGCTCTTCACTCTGCTGGCATGAGCTCTGGCTTTATAATCTTTGGCACCAATCTAACCAATCCTTTGAATGAACTTCTATTAGCCTTACAACCTGTAAGTATCCACTCGTGTCATATGTGCGAGACACAATTATCCTCAGTTAAGATGCACTTAATGAAATATTTTACTCTTTCCTTTAGTTATGGGTGGTGTCCGATTTTCATTGTTCATACCGTCTGATTTGAAGTTATTAAGTCATGAATCAGTAAAAAAAAAATAAAAAAGTGTTGATATGGTGGTCTGAAAGTACTCTCCTTTTTAATGTGATCGCTGTCTTTATTCTCTGATCATGACCTTACAGGTATTTCCATTGGATTACATCCTGATTACAGTCATCACAATGTATTTTGTGCTTACATCCATGGCGGGTATTCGCAACATGGGCATCTGGTTCTTTTGGATAAGGGTAAATGCGGACAATAGCTCTTCATATAATTTATTTTTTATATTGATGCTCACATGCATTTTCAAATGTATCTTTTCTTTCCTCTCCAGCTGTACAAAATCCGACCTAAAAGAACCCGTCCCCAGGCTCTCCTCTTCCTCTGCATGATTTTGCTTTTGATTGTTCTCCATACCAGCTACATGATCTACAGTCTTGCCCCTCAATACGTCATGTATGGCAGCCAAAAATATCTCATAGAGGTGAGCGAGGCTGTTTGCTTACCTTCATCCCACTTATTTCTTTTTTGGTCTCCCTGATGAGCCTCTGCTGATGGTTCCAGATAGGCCGATGTGTGGTCTCCACAGAGTCCGTTTGTAGTTCTTGTTGGATTGTTAACTGGAACGTTCTTGTAAACTCATGTTTAGTATTCAAAATATTCAGGCATTAAAACACTGAAGTCTAATAAAATGAATTGTTATCTGAAGCAACTTATGTTCACTTTACACCCGGGTATATTTCTAATGATCCTGAACATATTTGCCTGTGAAATTTCTCCCAGTGCTTTCTGTTACTTGATTTAAAAAAAAAAAAAAAAATCTGGATTGAATCATCTTCCTTCCGATTTGTTTTTTCATATTATAAATACAGTAGTAAGAATTTTTCCAAACAGATTTGTGAATTTTGTCTTGGTGTGTTTCTTCTTTTTCTTTCTCAAGAGTCCTTCAACAGGCCTTACGTCAGGCAACACTTCATTCAGCACTACCAGGATCTGTGATGCCAACGCGCCTGAGGGTGAGTGTGTCGTCTATGCTTGCAAGGTAGCAACGGACTAATATTGAGATGCTGCAGCATCCCGCTATACATTATCAAAGATTCATTTCTCACAAGTTGAGTGTAAGAGAGCAAGGCCAGTGTATAACAGAGCCATTTCATGTTGAACACTGTTCAGCAATCTTTATCGCCATCCATTATTTATTAAGGAGAATAATCACAAGGACAACCATTCACTAATGCGATATGTAACCTCTTGCTGTCACAATGCCAGCACCTATTACAAGCACATCAGTCACAAAAACATGAAATTGTACAGTACATCTTAGCAAGGAGCTTTATAACTATGAATTATTTATCCCGCTAATGCCCCAGTCACACAAAGTGGTTATGATACAATTGTTATTTCAGTTAAGGTTTCGGAATACACTATATGGCCCAAAGCACTCACTCATCTGCTGTGACTCGCATATTAACTTCAGTGACAGATCATTTTTAATCTATCTGGTTTCAAATCGACACCAAACCCTCATTTCAATCCCAAAGACATCTTTTTTTGTCGAGATTTAGGGTAAAGGAGTGTCTGAAAATATCTGGCGCTGACTGAGTTAATACCTTTTTGAACCTTGTTTTGTGCACTGATGTACACTCATGTTGGAATAGGATGGGGTCTAGAATTGTACCTAGTGGAACACCTTTCGGGTGAAAAGAAGCTTTTTGAGCCACAAAGTGTGGACCAATGTTATATTAATCCCTGGATTAAGAATTAGATGTCACTTAAATTCATATGTGAGTCAACGCAGGTGAGTGAAAACTTATAGTGTATCTACCAAGTACAAGTATGCTTGATAATAGGCTGGGTCCTTTCCCTTATTTTACTAAATTGTCCTGATTCCCATCCTGTTAAAAAATAAGACAGGTCATGAATAAATGTGTAATTTCATATGTTTGACATCTCACTCTCATAAACACAGATATTTTAAGCATGATTTTGTACTGAATATGTATTTAACTCTTACCTAGGGATTCCATTATCATATACAGTATATTGTTGCAGACTTCTCTTGTATCGGAGGGCTATAAAAAAAAGTACTATTCATTAACATGAATAAAAGTTTAATTGATCTTCACCTCAAAAGATGTTGCATCTTATTGTTTTTCCAAGAGGAAAATAAAAACTGCAGTCATCATCTGTAGAGTGACTCCCATCAATGAAAGGGAGATTATGATTTGTTCACACTAATCTGGCGTGTATTTACACCAATTTCGCTCCCTCTTGTAAAGTAAAGCAGTCACGTTCCACATTGAAGCAAATAATCCTTGCCCAAATAAATGATCTGATCTCCTCTGAATCAACAACAATGCTCATGTCGATGTCGGCTCCAAGTCCTCAACAGTGCTTGTTATTTTAGCAAGTTCATGACTATAGGACAGTGTCAGATGCATTCTAGATAGTGCACTTCATATCTACAAGTTCCTCCAGAGTGAAAATTAAATGTGTCAATTAAAGAGAGAGATTGTACAAAGTCTCTCAAATGAATTCAAGTCACAGTCACCTGTTCACAACCTCATTGCTTCTTATTCTTATTGAAGTCACGACTTCTTATAGCTGCGGTATAACCTTCCCAGTTCATGTATCTTGATACAATCACAACAGATCACATGATGAACCACAGAGCGGTTCACTCACCCATTCATCCAATCCATCCATTCATCCATCCATTTTTGTTTATCTTTAAAGGTATGTTGCATGAAAAAGTATGTTGCATCGAAACTTCAACAACACCTTGAACAGACTATTTTGGGCCCGAGCTCATCTGAGATGAACTGACGCTATTTGAAATGTGGTGTGAAAAATCCACATCTCAAATAGTAATTGGGAATCATGGAATTCAAACCCTCTACACCAAAAAAGAAAAAGACCGTCCAGATTGTTATCAGTCCAAAGTTCAAAAGCCAGCATCTTTGATGGAATAGGTTTTTGTTCGTGGGCATGTCATGGGTGACTCGCACATATGTAAAGGTACCATTATTGCTGTAATGTACTTACATACAGGTTTCGGAGAGTTTATACCACCACCCAAGCGTATGCAGGCATGCCCCTATTTATTTCAGCAAGACATTAGAGTAAATCATTGCAAGTACTAGACAGGTTTGCCAGCAGTCCAGACCTGTGTCCTGTTGAAAGTGTGTGGCGCATAATGAAGCGGAAAAAAACGACACAGGATGCCCCGGACCGTTGAGCTAAAGTTGGACATAAGCAGGAATGGGAAAGAATTATACTTATAACACTTGAACAATTTGTGTTCTCTGTTCCTAAAAGCATATTTAATGTTTTTAAACAGAAAGGTGATGCAACACAGTGGTAAACATGCCGCTGTCCCAGCATTATTGGCAAGTGTTGACGGCATCAAATTTTAAATGAGTGAATATGCTCTCCTAAAACAAGGGCTTCACTGTGTACTCGATTCTTATCATTATATTATTATTGTTGTTGATCCTGTCTTATGTAACTCTGAAAATCGCTTCCAAGAAATGATCTGGACTCACCGTTATTTGTTGTCCTCACCTTTAACGCTGCCATCTTCACATCAGCGAGCCCCGTTAGTGAGCACATGGCTCTCGTCGGTGAACCAAACAGTGATCTCAGTGACATTCTGCATTCTTTCACTCGAGACCTAATTTTTTTCATAATATCCAAAGGGTTCATTACTTCTTATTCCTTGAGGTGACCACATATTGTTAAAATTGTTCGAGGTGCACCTATGCCCTTTTATCTCTACTGTTTTGGCTTGTTTTACCCGCAATGTGAAATTATTATTATTATTATTATTTATTTATTTTTTTTTTTAGGGGGGGCTGCCCTCTTCTTCCTTGTCTGTTTCCTAGCAACTTGAAATTTGCTAGCACATTGTTAGAACATCTTTGTGTGAAAGCTGCTTGTAATTTCATGTCGTCTTGAAAGTGTCAGGCAATTTTCAAAATGGAGAAGGAGAGGCTCTTACAACGCCATCAAAAAATAATTTTCCTTTGTGCCAGACAATGGATTATGTCTGTCAAATGCTTTGGGCACAGTTGTTTATCTTAAAATCTACAGACTTGGAATATTAATTTTCTTGTAAATTTGGTTGCCTGTAAAAATTACATGTATGTGTAATCCATGTTTAGAACACGTAATAATTGTTTAATTATCATACGGGTTACTTAATGCTGTTAGAATTAAATACATTTAGCTTGAATGTGTGGTATAGCTTTGTGTGAAATGTCCGATACATTTTTTTAAAAAAATCAGTGCGCGTGTATGTGGCTTTTATTTATTTATTTCACTGTCCAATTAGGTACTTGGATTGATTTATTACTTTCATCAACCACTGAAGACTATGTAGATATTAGCATAATCATTCAGTTAGTGTCAGTTATGAAGTATTATGTAAACAAATTTTATGAAGCCGATGGTCCAATTTCAAGTCCCTTTAGATCACCTTTATTAATTTGGATTAGAAAATGTCACTTCTCATTTTATGGGGTAATTGCAAGTCTGTCACAGAAATGAACCTCTGTGTAAAGAATCCTTCAGAGAGAAAAGCATATATATTTTTTAATTACTTTAAGCACTGTTTGAATTCAATTGAGAATTTTGGTGAACATCAATAGTACTGACAATATTTCCATCCATCCATCCATCCATCCATTTTCCGATCTGCTTTATCCTCACAAGGGTCTCGAGGGGTTCTGAAGCCTATCCTAACCGTCTTCGGGCAGTAGGTGGGGGACACCCTGAACTGGTTGCCAGCCAATCGCAGGGCACACACAGATGAACAACCATCCACGCTCACACTCACACCGAGGGACAAGTTAGAGTGCTGAATCAGCCTGCCATGCATGTTTTTGGAATGTGGGAGGAAACCGGAGTACCTGGAGAAAACCCACGCAGGCCCAGGGAGAACATGCAAACTCCACACAGGAAGGCCGGAGCCGGGATAAAAATCACGACCTCTGCACTGTGAGGTCGACATGCTGACAAGATTTACATTTTAAAATAGTGCTGTCTTAAACACACTCAAAGTTTGGAGGTATACATGATGGAATAAGAGTTCAAGTAGCTCTGGACGGTGTCTTGAATTTTTACAATACTGTATACAATAATACCTCATTTTTCGTGATTAATTGGTACCAACCCTGTGCCATCCTATTCCCACAGGAAAAAAAATCCAGTGGTGTCCCGTCCCAGACCATCGTAAAAAAAATTAAAATAATTATTTGGGTGGATCACTGTAATCGCAGCTTCCAGTTCACGTCCTGAAGTGGTTTGTTGTGTGAAGTACTTGAAAAGTGAAACACAGTAATGTTCTCGTGTTTGACTAAAGGACTTAAAAAAACAAAATGTTCTAAGTGTGCGTAGATTAAGGAAAGTGGTTGAGCCAGTGGCACAAGATTGTGTAACGACCACTTACAACGTGTCATGAACTGGTCACAAAGGTGCACTCCAGCGCACACTGCTACTTCTGGGCTTTCAACTGGCTCATTACAGTATCCATTTGTTTTGCCATAGCAACACATTAACCTAGTTGAGAAGGTGCAACACTAACTGGCGTTTTCTCGAGATTGCTATTTGCTAAGTTGAATATTAATTAATATTAATGAATACATCATTAGGCAACTCTATTTTAACAAAGGGCTCGGGCAGTTCTCTTAATTTTTTTTTTTTTTTTTAATTATTTTTCATCATGACTGTTATTATCACTGTATTTTTCAGAAAAGTAAAACCTCTGATTATTTTCTTGGAAAAACTACAAAGTTGACCCACTTATTCTGAAACTGTTATTTTTTTCAACCTTTAAATTTCATTTGATTTGCAGCTGTATATTTTTTCAAATAGCAAAGGATCATCTGCTCTTGTCCACTTCCATCGCACACATCGCCTTGTCCCAAAATGTAAGATCGTAAGGTATTTAGATCACCATTCAGCCCAAGATAATATAGGGATAGGACTTTTGAGCAACGCTGGCACGTTCCAAACTGAAGTAAGACTTTGTACAAAAAGTAGGATATGTACAGGTATGTGTGGGAGTGATTGAGTGGGTGTCGGTTCAAGCGCACATTTTAAGTGCTCGTATTTGAATGGTCTGATGGAAGTTGTACATAATGCATGGTGCTACTTGGGGCAGAGCTTCGCCAAGATGTGGTAAGTCAAGGTGAAATTACCTGTACTCACAAGCTGCCCCGCACTCATCTCAGAGTGCGCTAATGATTCCAAGGTGAGGCGGGTCAGCGGTGTACATCATAATATATTTCGGCACGCCGCCGTTGTGAACCATCTGTATGTTCCACTCGGAGCAGTGCGAGTTCAGGTGAGCAGCTGGATAGCTGCAGATGGCCCAAGTTCTGGCGGAAAATTGTGAGGTCATCGAGATGAATATAGACAAGCTTCCCCAAGGGGGTGATGATGATGATGATGTTAAAGCTGATTGTTGTTCTTCCCTTCACAACTCCAAAGGTTCTGCTCTCTATTTTCTGTGTATGTATATCAAGACATCAGATTCTTCTGTTTTGATATGCAAGGGGTCCTCGGTTTTCGACAATCCGGGCAGTTCACGTTCTGAGGTTAACAAGTTCACGTAATGAAAGAATATTTGGTCACACGTAGGCATCCTCACTTTCTGCCAAACTTACTTCTGTTTGATTGTTTCACCATGATGACCCTTAAAGTGTTTTTTTTTCATAATGACTTGACCGTGATAGCGACAGAGACACTAACTCTTTTTGGAACTCTAGACTAGTCAACATTTTGTGAGAAAATAAAAACAGGTCGATTATTTGTGAAAGTGCCAGACCCTCATGGGGACTGACAAATAATAGAGATGTGTGAAAGAATATGAATAACCAAATTTGGGTAGGTCTGACATTAAACCTTTTTGAGTGGTGTCCCCACATGAGTTTAAGTTGTAGTGGCCTTGTTAGATTTGGGACTGGTCCTACATACGTTTCAAATATTACATATTTTGTGTTTTTATACTGGATTGTTTTATCCTTTAAGAAAATATTACTTTTCTGTAGTTAGGGTTGTTTTTGCATTGTAATGTTTGTTTGTTTGTTTGTTTGTTTGTTTTTTTGGGGGGGGCTTATAAATTCCTATCCTATAATAAAGTAGCAGGTTCAAGTAGTGTGAGGAGACATGTACAAATGTCACGGAGAAGAGTTCCAGATGGCTCTCAAGCACAGCCAAGACCCTTTCATCTCCTCACCACAAATAATGCTACTCAAATATACTGCATGCTCAGAATGTTATATTTTTCTCATGAGCAAGTCCATTCGCTCATGCCCTTAAGCAGAGTGCCTTTCTCTTCCATGCATTGGAGATGCATGTGACACATCACATCACAATTTGTTGTTCACATGGCTGCCAGGGACCATTGGTACACAGAAAGGGAGAGGGACTCATATGGAGAATATTTTCCCTTGTAGTTGGATCAATGCTAGTATAAAAAAAAGGCCACGTGGAGCGAAAAGTGCAGCCCATTTATGATAAGTATACGAAACACAGTCAATATCAACCAAGGCGGCTGTTATTGTCTCTGTGGAAACACGTTGTCGTCTGTTTAAATTAAACGACACTCTTAGAGGTGAGGATTGCGAAAGGCTTCTTATAGAGCAGACATCAATCCCAGGAACATTGGCTCCTGAAAATCACTCTTTTGGAAGAAAATAGCATTCATCAAGGGTTCTTGTTAAGACTAATGCAAGATCCAGTGATAACCATTTTAAGAAAGAGTTCTTCGAGGGCTGTTGAAAACCGTAGTTAGTAGATCATCCCCCTCAAATTTTTAAAATCATTGGACCTGGAATCCTTTGTACTGGCTCTGCTGCATTCTGAAAAGTCCTTTCCATTTTAATTTCATGATGTACAACATTTAATGCGGGTGTGGAGAGAGAGAGTGAGAGAGAAGAGAGCACTTAGTAACTAACGTAACAATAGTCTAAACGCAGTCGTACTGCGCGAGAATGAAAGGTAACATTTCCAACTCACAACCTACCTGTGAAACCATGCTTTGAGTAACAGTGCATCAACAGTGCATTTCAAAGTCACATTCACACTGACAGTGACACGATTTTGCTCTTTTCTAAGACCTACTTGTCTTTTTTAGTGACACTAACAGAACAGGCCGAGGCACTCCTCCTGAGTAGTGATGCTGTGTCGCTACCAGTGTTTTGTGTTTTTTTTTTTTTAAATGTATGTGAACATGTTTAAGCACTTGTACAATGGAAAAACATGATGAGGGGTCACCGTTTGCACTTTTCACCGGTGGACATTTCCACGAATGAAAGAATAACTTGATCCAAAGCATTGCCAATGTTTTCCAAGGAGTTCAGCACCCCCGTGGTTATTATTTTGGCTGTTAAAAAAAAAAAAAGAAAGAAAAATGTGTGCGTGAAATAAGTAGTCTGTGTTTTATTTGTTTTTCAGACCAGTGCATTGTGACCAGGTCGTATCTTTTCCTCCACAAGTTTTGGTTCTTCAGTACCATCTACTACTTTGGAAACTGGGCCTTTATTGGGGTACGTTTTTCTTCTCACGATGGAGTACAACAACGGCTGTCAATTGTCATTGTTCTTTTCTTCTCATCTATTGCACTGTATGTACACACTAAATACATAGTCGACAATTATTTTCGTATACATTTGGTGATCAATGGACAAGGAGTCGTAAAGATCGTAAAAGTGATCCATCACTCACAATCACACAAGATGATTATAATCCCGTGCATCCTATTAAACTGTGATATACATTTTGGCTGATCCCATATATATTCTACATACTGACATTCTAAGTAGATTGTGTGTTCATGGACTGAAATTCTCTACTTTTCTTTATTTCCTTATATCCTTCCAGAGTTTACATCAAGGCTTTTTGACTAAGATCCTAAATAGGTGGCCTGAATGACATGTTTACGCTAACAGGTAGCACGCACACGGCAGGCATTTTTTGCGCATGATTTACAAAGATTGCGCTCTTAGTAAATTCTGAGATCGGGTAACGTGAGACTTTTCCAACATCAAATGTCTACCTTGACCAACGTTTAGGAAAGGCCGATTTCAGAAGGATGCATTGAAATGATTCTTGTAATATGATCGACTTTTATACTGCGTTATACATTATCCTTTTTTGGAAGATAATTCTGGATTTGGGAAATTTCCTGAACAGCCGGCAGGTCTTGAAGTAAACAATCCTGTGTGGCCACGAGCACGTTACGATAACAAGCAACATATTGATTATTAAACAGCAGACCGCTCAGAATCATAGGGTTTTCAATTCATTGAATGAGGTGTAGATGACACTTTTTTTTTTTCCATCCCAAATACACCCGTGATACATTTAGAGACAAATACAACCCCATTGGCTCTCTGCGTGGATAATACACTATTTAACTTATTTGAATTAATGGGACACACCTCAAGCACACGTTAAATGTCGTGCATAGATCATTCCCATAGCTTTTTGTTTAGCTGAGCACTCCCCAGCCAGCATTTTTCTAATGTGTGCCTTAAATTCTCTCCCTTAGGCTTTCCTCATCGGCCTGGTGGTGTCATGCTGCCGAGGGAAGAAGTCTGTGATTGAAGGCGAGGTGGAGGCCGACGACTCGGATGTCAGCGATGATGAATATGTGCACTGAGGTGCAATACGCATGCACCCTCGGGGCAGCACCTCCAGCCATTAAGGGGGCTACAAAGTACAATTTGGCAAGGCATTCATTTGCTTCCATTTTATTTTGATCGCTTTGAAAGAGGTCAGCTCCCATACAACGTGACTGATGATGTTGGAATTAGAAGAACGTCCCGCAAAGCCACACACACACAGACAACCGTAGAAATTAAGGCAACGCTGACATACTAATTGTGCATTTTACCTTTCCTGAAATGCTTTCTCCACCAAACGTATTCAACTAAAGACCCACAATTTGATTCCTTCCTTGAAATAAAGGAATGATAAAGACATGAATTTCTCAAAACCAAATGAAAAAAGCCATTTGTCAAGAAATGCTTTGTCTGACATAATTCAGCTCTTGACCATTGGCCATCCCCCCCAAAAAGATGCCCATTTTGGGTCCCAGCCCTCAGTTTGGAAATCACTGCCCTCGACCCTGAAAATGGCTGCCCATCTGCTCTAAAATTCCTTCAACTTGTGTGCTCGTTACTGTATGAAATTCACTTTTTTTTTGTCTCTGTCATTGAAATGAAATGCTGTTTATTGCTGATATTGACCTTTCCTGCTCGTGTCACCAATTTCACTTAGAAGTCCTCAAATGGCAAGTGGTACTGAACGCATTCAATCCGACTTTTTTCCACGTAGCGCTTTATTTAATGTCCTTGTGAAAAGGATTCAATGATACTTTTGCTACCTGTATTATAAAGACATGGGGAAGAAGATGGCAATTTTTTTAAGTGCTTGTGACAGACGCGCAATTTTTTTTTTTGGGGGGGGGCTTTTTTAATTATCGTTGTATTGTTTTTCATTTTAAAGCAAGTGCATGTTGCTGATTTCAAGATCAATCCGCCAATAAATTGACACTAGGAATATGACTATTCTTTTTCAAATACGCACGAATTCTGGTCTGAAGCTCAGCTAAGATCATTTAAGGCATGTTTTCCTCCATGAATAGTCCAAGCTATTCATTGACGTGCTGGAATTGACTGCTGTGATATGTGGTACCAAGTAACATTATATGTCCACTATTTAGTGGTACATGGATTTGACAAAATAAATTACTTCAAATATGTCTGTTGTTGTTATTGGCAAGCCACCTACTTTAAAAAAAAAAAAAAAATGTCACGGCACACCATCAAACAAGAATGTGACAAAAGTACCGTATTTTTCGGATTATACATCGCTACGGATTATAAATCGCACCAGCCAAAAAATGCATAATTAAGAAGGAAAAAACATAAGTCGCACTGGAGTATAAGTCGCATTTTGGGGGGAAATTTATTTGATAAAATCCAACACCAAGAACATATTTAAAATAAAAATAAAATAGAAAACAACACGCTGAATAAGTGTACGATATGCTAACGTTACATGACGCATAAACAACGAACTGACAACGTGCCTGGTATGTTCAAGTAACATATTAAGAGTTATTCAGATAACTATAGCAGAAAGAACATGCTAACAAGTTCACCAAACCCAAATCCAATGGAATCTTCATCCTCTGTGTCACTTTAAAGAAACTCCACCAACTCCGGAGGTAGAAGATGCAGCGCTTCCTCTTCTACGTCGCTTACGTCAGACTCATCGTGGTTTTCTCAATACAGGTCTAAAGCGGCCTCTTGTGGTTTAATGTGAAAATAACATGTGAAAGTTATAATAATGTGTTAATAATTTCACCCATAAATCGCTCCAGAGTATAAGTCGCACCCCCAGCCAAACTATGAAAAAAACTGCGATTTATATTCCGGAAAATACAGTATTACTGGGAGGGAGCAAAAAAAATGATAGATGAAAAAAAATGTTAGATTTCTAATAAATAAATATATTTCAGCTCAGTTCCAAAGGCACCCCTGGTTAGAAATTACTGCTGTACTGATTCTTATGATTGACGGTATCGATCAAGCGGTGCAGTGAATGCTGTCTTTAGGTCTCATTAGGTATACCTGACATACTCTCAATTCCAAATCTCGTGTGGTAGCAAATTAAATGGTGTTTTTTGTTTTTTAAACCTCCTTATTTCACCCCTTACTGTGGATATGTATCAACTAAAAGTGACAGTTAAATACATCCATCCTTGGATTAGTGTTGGACACTCAGCCTTTGCCTGCGGTGGATTTGCAGGAAATTTGCTTGGCTTGTTCAATTAAGTGTATGTGGCATACGCACGTTGTCACCAAGTATTGTGTGAAGCCGCTTTTGAGCTTGCTTATTACGAGACTGCCGCCCCCACATCGCTTGCTAATAAACGAAATAAGCGCTGGGGGGGGGATAAATACATAAAATAAAGCAGAGATGTGACAGATCAGACTTATGAAATCTGTTCCTTCCTTCCTACGTCATCTTTTAGACAAATTCCTCCTGGGAAAGGATAAAACATTTTTTTAATTATGATTTTTTTTTTTTGTTTTTCATGAATAGTCACGAGCAAACTGCCAGGCGAGTGCGTCACGCTGTCGTCTCCCAGCAGTGAGAAACAACACTTGAGCAGCACGATGTAAGACCGGTTAGTACGTCTGCCTCACAGTTCTGAGATTCTGGGTTTGAAACCGGGACTTGTGTTTGGAATTTCTTCTAGTTGAGCCTTTGGAGTGCCTGTCTACCCTTTCAGCGTGAAAATAAACACCCAAGAATATTTCTTGCTGTCTATTCCTGAAAATGTGGCTGTGAGCAAGACCCTTTGCCCATCATAATTTACTACATAACCACCCAAACACACGTTTCTCCTCCAGTGACTTGGCAGCAAGGTTGGGTGAAGATCTGCTATTTTCAAGCCATTTTTGGACGACACTATCATGTCAAAAGCCGAAAAGGTCAACAAGGCTGGATAGTGTTTTCCAGTTACATAACAGATTAGCATTAGTAAAGAGCGTTAGCTTCTCATGAGCAGCAGCAAAAACCTGTGAGTAATTAACGTCCCACCTAAAAAATTTAGTTGTCTATGTATGCCACGAGATGCTGTCAAGGTTACACTTTTCTGTTAGGCTCTGCAGGGCGTGAATCCCAATATTTAATAAATCCGATCTTTTTCGACACTCTTTCAAGCTCTTTTCAGTTCAATATAACTCCTTTGCACCAAAGTTACCAAAGGTGGTACCGTACTACTACTTTTACATTAGAACAGGGCTTTCCCTGAGCATCAAAACAAAAAGCCAATAGTCATATTTTTAATTGAGTAATGGAGTAAACGTTCCCCCTGCAAGAATTGGCAAATAACTACATTTGCGAGTAGTGAATCACAACTGCGTAGGCAAACACTGTTTAACAATACCAAACGAGATCATTCGAAAAATACAAAATAACCTTCATTCAAAATTCTATTTTTTAGAACGGTTTGTTTTGCAATATCTACACTTAAAATTTAGTGCAATTTGTTTTAATTGACTCACTTTTGTTATGGTCCCATATTTAAGTGCAATAAATGGCTTACAGTAATATTCAGTACAATCGTTTTCAGGAATTTGAACTCTCCTTTGTGATTAACACATTGACCTACTACACGACTGTATTTTAATATTGGTCCTAAAATTTGGAGGTGGTAATTTGATGTTAAAAAAAATAAAAAATAAAAAGTTTTAAGACCCACTTCTCTAATGGGTTGAGTATGGGGGATGAGACAATTCATTTCCATTATTTGTTTATTTTTGTAATTGTGACACTGATGCAGCGGTCGCACCCTGGCCTGCGGCGTGTCCGCAGGTTTGAGTTCACCTCACAGGACCTTCTGATGAAACAGCACTTTTCCTTAGCGGTGCCCGTGGGAGTAGAGTGAAGCATGAGGGATCCAATGTGATTGTTTCATTCACACTGTGGGCCCTCTCTGTGTTCAAGCAGCCTAAGGTGGGGGGTCGGGGGACGGTTGCCACGCACTCCCAGGGGGGTGGGAGGTAGGGGTCTGTCAGCATCCACAGCTCGATTTAGTAACACGCAAACAACACGGCCAGCGTGTGGTCTCAAGGGCATGCCACCTTGAGTCAACACGATTAAACACACATCCCTATAATCATCTCATCTTCTTGCTCGCTACTTTTCTAAAATTGGCGCGGACCCCAATTTTCCCATTTAGTTCACATTTCAATACAATCTGGATAATTTCCCAGTCTTGAAAACGGCTGTCATAAGACCACTCCTACAAAAAAAATGGTCCTGATGCCACGATACTGAACAGCTATCCCCGTATATCAAGTCCGTGAGAAATGTGTTTTTCAACAGCTCTCTGACTTTCTTCGACCAAATACAGTTGAACCTCGTTACAACATACCTCGAGGGACATAACGAATCTTTACGTTATAACGGTAGTCCGTTGTAACTGTTTCCAATAAAATGGCCGGCCACCTCAAGGGACATAACAAATCTTTATGTTATAATGGTAGTTTGTTGTAACCGTTTCCAATAAAATGGCCGCCAATTCAGATGTAAAATACAGTATGAACATTTACAGATGTGAAAACATGAACGTGTAAAAATGAGAGAGAATTTCAGCCTTCACAGACAGAAGGATTTGCTTTTCAGACGATGTGCTCAGGACCACGCCGTGTCTCCGGAAACACAACGTACGAGTTGATCTGTAACGTTGCTTAGCAACGGAGGGGAAGAAGGCCCTGTAAATTTTGTTCATAAGCGAGGTGGCGGCGGCAGTTAGCTTCCCACGGTTCGTTGCAACAAAGGCCTTTTTGTTATAAAGACGTTTACGTAATAAAGGTGTTCGTTGTCAGCAAAATCGGCAAATGGAAAATGAATCACGTGAAATCGTGACTTTGAGATTTGAACGTTATTGGGATGAAAACGTAAACGGGGGTTCGTTGATAAGGGGTTCGACTGTAACTGCTTTGATGATTTTCAATCAGGCTTCAGGCCGCATCACAGCACTGAGGCTGCTCTTATCAAGGAGACAAATGACATCCATCTGTGCACTGACGCAGGTAAAATCTTATTCGTCGTCCTTCTGGATCTGAGTGCTGTATTTTCGATGCAGCCTAACATGCCATATTGGTAAAGAGGTTACGGGATTGAGTCATCATCTCAGGCATGTCATCTAATTTGGTTCCAGCCATTGTTCAAATCAGAAACGGTTGCTCAGAACAAAGAGGAGTGACTTGTGGGTGCCTTCGAGCATCCTCGTATCGCTTTTGTTCATCCTGTACATGCTGCCCCTCGGCTAATTAATACGCACGTGCCCTACGGACAACTATTCAGATGACACTCAGATTTGCCCCTCGCGAACAGAAGGTGGGCAAATGGACTCTTTCTGTCACTGCTTCCGTCAATCAGCCTTCTCCCGTCTCAAAAGCAGTTTGAACCAGCCTTCGAGAGACTTTGATCCTTGCGTTCATCTCTAGTAACATAGTCGTTTTCACCTCCTTCTCACGGGACTCTCTAAAGAGCCTGAAAGACAACTGTACTACATCCAGAAAACCGGTGCTGCAGTAGACGTACCACCAAAGCAGTTCTGTGCTAAGGTCACCGTCATGGCTTCCTGGAGCTCAGAGGACAGATTTGTGTGACCGCAAACTTTCATGGTTTCGTCTCCGCAACACTTTTAATACAATTGATGTACTTAAATCACGCAGGTGCACTGATGCGTGTCGACACAGCTCAAATCAAAACGTTCTCAATTTTCTGACATTTAAGAGATTGAATGAAATGAAAGGAAGTCCCTGAAGTCGACTTTGAGACCTTCAAACAGTCCGCGTGAGGACAAGTAAACATTGTCGATCATAAAATACACCATTCGTCCTCATGCAGCCTCTTCTTGGGGATCCTCGGTCACGCTCCCACCATTTTTTTTCTTTTTTTGTTGCTGCAGTGCACTGAGCTGCCCACCACACAGAACTGATCACCTCTTCCCATTTGTGATCCGTCTCACCTGCACCTTCAACGTTTAAAAGGGAAACCTTGTGGTGGTAAAGAAGCCCACTCACCTTCTGAATGTTTTCCACTCCAAATGAAAATGTAAAAAAAAAAAAAAATGATGGAGGGATGAACTTATTAAATATGTCAGTAAACTTTACAGTGCAAACTATCAACACGAAAGAGTGACAATAAACTGAGCTGAAAGTCATCTACAGCGCA